TTGTTTATTTATTTCAGGGAAACTGAAAGACAGGGGCAGGTACTAACCTCCTGCTCTACGTACTGCAGTAAATAAACCCATCCTGTGAAATCCTGTGGATTGTCCTCTACTACTTTCCAAAACTTGTCAAAATCCGGAGGGAAGTCAGCCTCGATATCTGTGGTCTGTAAGCTCTCAATGTTTGGGATTTCGCTCTCCTGCGTGTTGTCCTCGTTGAGGTCTGGGGAGCTGTCTGGGGACTGCTCCATCTCGGTGACACTCATGATCTCGGTGCTGAAGTCCATGTGCTGCTCCTCGGCCGCGCTCTCGGCCTCGGGCTCCGCGCTCTCATTGCCCACAGTTGGCTGCTCCTCCTCCGTGCTCTCTGCGTTCTCCATGGCACCGCTGTGAGACTGGATCCTGGGGGAACAGCTCCCTTCAGTACTCCTGGGGCACAGCTGGGCTGAGATCCCAGCTCAGTGCTCCAGGCATCCCTGCATGTCACCACCCCCCCCATGGCACCTGCCTCACACATCAGCCTGGCTCAACAAGAAAAAATATTAATGGCATCGATTTTCACATCTGCACATACAAATCATTGTGGGTGTAGGGGGATGGAATATAGGTAAATAAAGGAAGTATAGAATGTAATCTTACCCCCTAAAGAATTGCAGCTGAACCAATTACTAAAGATTAGGAGCAGGCCTGATGTTAACAGGCCACAGCTGTAGCCAGTAAGAAGAGTGTTATACAAGGGTGGATTGGTTGGCTGAGGAGAACTGGAGTCAGTCAGGTACTGTGAGGACAAGGAAGAGTCAGTGCCTGGAGGAGCTGCCCATGAGAAACATCAAGGAGGTACAAAACTCTGGCAATATGGAACCCTTGCAATGTAATGACAACAGTGTGTTTCTAAAAACCTATCACGGGAGCTAACAAGGTATAAAAGTGAAACATGACAGTATTCCTGTAAGAGTCCAGTGGAAGTTTATCCTAAATAAAGAATTATGTTCAAATTCCATAGAAACATTAAGGCTGGAAAAGCTGGCTGAGACCATCAGGTCCAAATCACTCCAGCAGTGCCAGGGCCACCACGGACCCATGTCCCTAAATTCATTCAATTTTCCTACTCAGTACAAGTCAGTGAATTCTTTGTGAAATAAACAGGTGTTAAAAGGTGCCCACAACACCAGGCTAAAGCAAAGACAGGAATGCCTGTCAGCACCAACTCAGTCCCATTTAGTGATGTCCAAACACACCCAACAGCACCAGAGAGCCACAGAAATGCTCTGGCAGCCCCTGACCTGCAGCCCCTCAGTCCCAGGTGCTTCCTCCCGGCCCTTGGGACAACTCCTGCTTCCTCCCACTCCTCCTTTGATGTCCCTGCCAAGAGCCACGGCCTGGCCCTGCCCTGCTGTGCCAGCACCAGGCCAGCCTGACCTGGCTGGGTGCCAGCCAGCCTGGGCTGATCCCAGCCTTCCCTCCCAGAGCTGGGGCAGGGACACTGAGCCAAGCCTGCTCCGTGCCCCGGGTGGCTCTGTGCCCCCAGGGACACCACCCTGCAGGACACAAGAGCTCCCAGCTCTGAGTGCAGCTGCCATGAAGGACAGTGCTGGACTGACACCCTCACACACTGCACTGCACTCCTGGCTCCTCCTGTGCTCTCCTTGCAGCAGGTGGCAAATACAGTTGGGATTTCAAAAAGAAAGCACAAGTCCCCAGCCCAGAAGTCTCCAGAGTTCTTTCACACTGAAAACCTGAAGAGACAACACGCAGAGCACTTTCACTTCAACAAGGGCATGGAGAAGACACTGCTACATACTGGGGTGAAGTTCTTGCCAGAAAGGAAAAATTTCTCTCGCTTATCTTCAGCAGCTTCAATTCTTGGGATAACAGCTCCTGTTTTCCCAGGAGTTCACCAAGCCAAGGAACTTTGGCACAATGTTCAAGAGTCCATGTGGCCTACGCTGCAAGTTTTCTAATAACTGCTTTTTAAAGTATTTCTGCTCTCCATCGTTAGGCAGCCATGGCTGGGAGCAGCCTGGGGTACTGGTGGGCATCCCTGCTCACGGCAGGGGGTGGAACTCCATGGGCTTTGCAGTGTCTGCCAGCCCAAACCATTCGGTGACCCTCGATTTTGAGAAAAAACCCTCATTTGTAACATGAAGTTATACATTAAGTATCAAAGAGTATCACTGTGCCTTTCCCAGTGCAACAGGCAGAGATCTGAATCACTCAAAGGCTGCTCACTTCTGAGGGTGCCTCATGCAGGTTCTAAAACCGAGTGGAAAGGGGAGGGAGTGATACAAACCGCAGCCCCAACACTAGAAAAAATAGTTTCAAGGCTATTTACAGCTCTAAAATTTAATGTAACAGTGACAGAGGTAACTAGTGATGGGATGAGAGGAAATGGCTTCAAATTGCACCAGGAGAGGCTCATGTTGGATATTGGAGAAATTTCTTCATGACAAGGCTGTCCAGCCCTGGCACAGCTGCCCAGTCCACATCCCTGGGGAGGATTTTATTTAAATCCCTGGAGGGATTTAAAGCCCTGTGCACGTGGCACTTGGGGACACGAGGTGGCCTTGGCTGCACGGGAGAATGGCTGGGCTTAATGACCAGCCTTAACAATTCCATGGATTCTGTCATCATTAGAAATGCAGTAATTCACAACCTAAACTTATTCTGATGTTTAACAGATGTTTTCTCTCTCTAGCTGATTCAGAACACATATTCCATCTTAAAAAAACAGCTCTCCAAATCCAGGTGTATTCAGATGAGGAGGGAAAAAAGGATGAGGGAGAAGCTGTAGGGATGGGCACACAAGGGCTGGGCTTGTGAAAACTCACAAGGATTGGCACACGTGGCTTCAAACTGAAACCAAGTCTGTCTGACAGCTCTCCCAGCCAAACGCCTTCCAGTCTGAGATCCCTGGCATATCCCAAAATCTGAGAGCAATCCATGGCTTAAACCAGCCAATGCAACAGGTCACCAAGGTCCAGGGGTGGGGCACACCAGGGAAACTTCATTCCGGGGTTCCCACCTTAACCTTTATTCCCCCACCTTAACTCCAGGGGTTTTCACGTTAATTCCAAAGCATTTGACATCACACAGGCTAAACAACTGAATCAGAGTATCAGACAGCTACACACACTGGTATTAAATAATTGATGCCAACATGTATTACTCAGCCTGTTACCAGCAAAAGACTGCTGTACACAAAACTGCCGCTCATAAACGTGAATGAACTAATGGGAAAAAACCAGGGAAACTGCAGAGGGGCAGGAATGCGGCGCCTTATCTGAGCTCTGCCCAGAATGCTCCATTCACACCCCTGATAAGGCGCTGCTGGATCCACCCGGGGCAGGGCCGGCGCTGCCCGGGCCCAGCGCGGCTGGGCCGGGATTGGGTTTGAATCACAGAATCATTTACTGGAAAAGCCCTTCAAGGCCATCGAGTCCCAGCTGTGCCCGATCCCCACCTCGCCACCAGCCCAGAGCTCTTGAGTGCCACGTCCAGGCACTCCTTGGACACCTCCAGGGATGGGCACTCCAAACCTCGCTGGGCAGCCCCTGCCAAGGCCCGAGCACCCTTTCCATGGGGAAATTCCTGAAGATGTCCACCGTGAGTCTGCCCTGGCCCAGCCTGAGGCCCTTCCCTCTCCATCAGGGCCTCTCGGGGCCCAGTCTGAGCAATAACGTCACAAACCGCGCGGCGCGGAGCAGTTCGCAAGGGCCCGTTACTCGCCCAGCGGCCGTTCAACGCAGACAACGGGGATACAAGGATACCACAGGGATACCGGGATACACCCCCACGGCAGAGTTCCCCTCTTGAGCAAAGCCGAGGCCTGGCAGCGGCCGCGGGGCCCACACGGCGCTCGGAGCGCCCCGCGCGCGGCCCGGCCCGGCCCGGCCCAGCCTCCGCCCGCCTCGGCCTCCCGCCCCGGCTGTCCCTCGGCTCGGGTGCTCCCGGCCGCTGTGGGAGCTCCCCGCTCTCCTCCCCTTGACCCCTCGCTGCCGCAGTCCCTCGCCCCTCGCCGGTACCTGCCGGGGCCGCCACAGCCGCCGCCGCCGCCGCCGCCTCGCCCGGGCCTCACGCACCGCGCACGCGCACAGCGCCCCGCGCGCGCGCACCGCCCGCGAGCCCGCCTGCCCCCGCGCGTGCGCACCGGCCGCCCCCAGCGCCCGCCCCTTCCCGCCAAATGGCGCCGGTCCTTGAGGGGCAGGGCTGTGACAGTGCCCGGTACGGGAATAGATACAACCCGGTAAAGGGAATAGAATAAATACAGCCCCCAATGGAAACACATCCCAAAATCATTTGGATGGGAAGACACTTCCAAGATAACCCAGTCCCGCTGTCCACGCAGCAATATCACTGTAGCCCTCAAACCACTAAACCATGTCACCCACAGCATGGCCAGGAATTCCTGGGACACCTGCAGGGATGGGCACTGCAACCCTCCCTGGGCAGTGCCAAGGCCTGAGCCCCCTTTCCATGGGGAAATTCCTGCTGTGCCCACCCTGAGCTGCCCTGGCCCAGCCTGAGGCCGTTCCCTCTGCTCCTGTCCCTGTGCCCTGGAGCAGAGCCCGACCCCCCCGGCTGTGCCCTCCTGGCAGGAGCTGTGCAGAGCCACAAGGGCCCCCTGAGCCTCCTTTGCTCCAGGCTGAGCCCCTGCCCAGCTCCCTCAGGGATTCTGCAGCCCCTGCCCAGCTCCCTCAGGGATTCTGCAGCCCCTGCCCAGCTCCGTTCCCTCCCCTAAACATGCTCCAGCTCCTCCATGTCCCTTTTAAAGTGAGGGGCCCAGAGCCAATCCCAGGATTGGAGGTGCCTCGGCAGTGCCAGCACAGGGGGACAGCCACTGTCCTGGCCCTGCTGCCACACTATTCCTGGTCCAGGCCAGGTGCCTTTGGCCTCTTGCCCACCTTGGCACATCTGGGCTCACGTTCAGCCACTGTCACTGGGTTTCTTCGAGCAGAGCAGCTTTGAGCCCCTCCTCCCCAGCCCTTTGCAGAAATACATCCCTGTACAGAAATAAATCCCTTTATTTATATATCCCATTGTGTCCCATGTCAAATGTGTCCAGAGCCTGCAGCTGAAGAAGGGTCAGGGTTCATTCTCCCCACTGCCCAGCCCTGAGACAACAAATACTGCACCACTGCCTGTGGGGGTACAAAAATACATGTTTTTCACAAACAGCACTGCATCACTGTGTCCAGGACTCTCTTCCACTTCTCCATGTACAGTGCAGTGCTGATGTGACCGTGTGGTTCTTCATGGGCAATCCAGGGACAGGTCCTGGGCTGGAGCCTCTGGAGGGAAGCACAGATGGGCTGGAGCAGTTCCTCCATGGCCGTGCTGGTGACAATGAGGGGAGCCAGCCCCACACTGCCCAGCACAGCTCTCCCAGCATGGCCCAGTTCAGCCCCACACACTGTCCCAGTTCAGGCCTGCAGACTGGCCCAGCACAGCACAGCTAGTCCAGGCCCTCAGGCCAGCCCAGCACAGCTCCCCAGGCTCTCCCAGAACAGCCCAGTTCAGCTCCCAGGCTCTCCCAGCCTGGCTCTTGGTCTCTCCCGGTGCAGTCCAGCCCAGCCTGGCTCCAGGGCTCTCCCTCAGGCACCGTGCCCAGTTCAGGGCAGCACCGTCCGTCCGTGTGCCCGGCTCAGGCGGCGCTGGAGCTTCACCTGCAGGGACGGCCATGTTACGATTTTACGTTCCCGTCTCCAAAAGCTCCTCCAGGTTCTTCCTGATGTGCGGGGGCTGGGCCGCGGCCTGGGCGAGCAGGCCAGGGCCCATCTGCGCCCACAGCGCCTGGGCCAAGGCAGCCGTGGCCGTGCGGGGGCCGGGCATGGAGCCGCCGCCGGCAGAGCTGCCCAGCAGGTGCCACAGCACGGGCAGCACCTTCTGCTCCACGGCACAGGGCTTCCGAGGGTACAGCTCTGGCACCAGCTCTGCCGGGAGAAAACACTCATTTCAGTTACAATTGCAATGGGATCCCCATGTGTGAGAGGGGTACAGCTCTGGCACCAGCTCTGCCGGGAGAAAACATTCATTTCAGTTACAATTGCAATGGGATCCTGCCTTGGAAAGGGGTACAGCTCTGGCACCAGCTCTGCTGGGAGAAAACATTCATTTCAGTTACACTTGCAATGGGATCCTCACATGTGAGAGGGGTACAGCTCTGGCACCAGCTCTGCCAGGAGAAAACATTCATTTCAGTTACAATTGCAATGGGATCCCCATGTGTGAGAGGGGTACAGCGCTTCGGTACCAGCTCTGCTGGGAGAAAACATTCATTTCAGTTACAATTGCAATGGGATCCCCACGTGTGAGAGGGGTACAGCTCTGGCACCAGCTCTGCCAGGAGAAAACATTCATTTCAGTTACAATTGCAATGGGATCCTCACATGTGAGAGGGGTACAGCACTTTGGTACCAGCTCTGCCAGGAGAAAACATTCATTTCAGTTACAATTGCAATGGGATCCCCATGTGTGAGAGGGGTACAGCTCTGGCACCAGCTCTGCCGGGAGAAAACATTCATTTCAGTTACAATTGCAATGGGATCCCCACGTGTGAGAGGGGTACAGCGCTTGGGTACCAGCTCTGCTGGGAGAAAACATTCATTTCAGTTACACTTATAATGGGATCCCCACGTGTGAGAGGGGTACTGCTTCGGTACCAGCTCTGCTGGGAGAAAACATTCATTTCAGTTACAATTGCAATGGGATCCTGCCTTGGAAAGGGGTACAGATCTGGTACCAGCTCTGCCGGGAGAAAACACTCATTTCAGTTACAGTTATCCCCACATGTGAGAGGGGTACAGCTCTGGCACCAGCTCTGCAAGAAAATATTCATTTAAACTACAATTTCTATGGGATCCCGGCCTTTGACAGGGGACAGCTCCGGCACCAGCTCTGCAAGGCAGCAAGAAGGAGTCAGGATAAAATATTCATTTAAACTACAATTTCTATGGGATCCTGGCCTTTGAGAGGGGTTCAGCTCCAGCACCAGCTCTGCAAGGCAGCAAGCAGTGGTCAGGATAAAATATTCATTTAAATTACAATTTTGATGGGATCCCTGCCTTTAAGAGGAGTTTAAAAGCACTTAAATCATCTCCTCAAACTGCTGCTGTACACAAGTTTGCTGTTGCAACATCATCAGCTCCCATAAAAAATACCAGATTTTCCCACAACCACTCCTTTTATTATCCTCTCCCAGGAGTTTACACAGTAACACCAGTGCTGCTGATAATTACACTTTCCATTAAGCTAAAAAAACCTCGAAGAAATGAAGGGGATTTTAGATTGGGTTTTTTCAGTTAGGATTCTCATCAGGACCTTTATTTTTCACAGTGTAAGGTCTGGTATTTCCAATTCCCCCTCTATCTCACAAATAAGCAGTAGATATTTAAGAAAAAAGCAGCCTTATACTGTAAATATAGAATCATAGAATGATGGAATATACTGAGCTGGAAGGGACCCACAAGGATCACAAGTCCACCTCCAGGCCCTGCACACATACATTTAAAATATGTATAAAATAAATATATATGTTTATAGGATGAAATATTTTCCTCAAGAATGAATTCAGTGTTTCATTAGCAAATGTTTCCCTCTCTCCCAGAACAGCCTCTTCTGATATATAATACAAACACTCCAAAAATCCCAGCAAGAGAGGGACTGTTCAAAGGCTGTTTAACACCCTCAAATTTAGGGATATTTCAAGAACAGCCTGTCCATTGTATTATTGAGTTCCATTTCACACAGAACTGCTCTGAAAATGAGCCAAGGAAATGTTTGGTTCAAGCATATTTCCCATAAAGACATTCCTTGTCCATTTAAAGCATGGAAATTCAGCTTTTCTCGAGGAATTCCTGGCTGGGAGGGTGGGGAGGGGCTGGGCTGGAACTCCCAGAGCAGCTGTGGCTGCCCCTGGATCCCTGCAGGATGGACACTGGGGCTGGGACACCCTGGGACAGTGGGAGGTGTCCCTGCCATGGCAGGGGTGGCACTGGGTGGGATTTGAGGTCCCTTCCAACCCAAACCAGTCTGGATTCCTGGCAAGAGCATCAGGGAATGAGCACTGGCAGAGGGAATACAATGCTGTGTTAAAATTATTATATGCTTAAGGTCTTTATAAATGTTAATCCTTAAGGTATTTAAATAGATGAGGAATTTACATTTAAATTAAATCCTTCATATATTTATAAATATTTATAAACTCCAGGTAGTTATAGATCTTCCATCTGACTATATAACACCAATGCTAACACTAATCCTTTGTTTTGTCAGCAATAGCTCCAATTTCCATTAAAGAGCTGAAATGTGACAACTGCTGTACAACCTCCTGAGACAGAAGGGAAGGTACAGACCCACCTCCACCTTGCAATTAATTTCCCTAATTAAGGGCACCCAACCAACCAAACAAGCAAAGGAAAGCAGCACTTTACCAGCCAGCTTTTCTGTCAGGTCCTGCTTTGCTTTTCCACTCAGGAACTGGGCTTTTGTGCAGAACGGCTGCAGGAGCAGGGAGGAGTCTAAAGGCAAAGAGCAAAACATTAAATTCTTAAATGGAAATTAAATTATCTGGAAATAAACACAATATGGGAAAAGGTAAATAAGAAAATGCTATGGAAAAATAACCAAAGCACTACTGAGCAATATCAAGGTGATTTGTGTGGTGAGAATAAACCCAATGATTTTTACACAGTGTAGCAACCCTGTGCAACTCTTGGAAAGAGTAACACTTTCAATTTACAACTTAATCACCACAATTAAAACTGCTTCAAATTAAGAGCCAATAAATTGCTCACCTAAGTGTTGACATAGAGCCTGGATCACATTTGTGGCAGCTGCATAAATCCCTGGGTTTTTGGAGTTGAGGTTGTTGTCCACTATGGCAGGAATTAACATGTTGATCACAGGTGACAAATTGTCTTTGAGCAGTGGAATCATCTTGTGCATGGCCTCCAAAGCCACCTGGGTCACTTTGCTGTTGGAATCGTGCAAGCGAGGCTTGAAAGCATCGAAGATCTGGAAAAGCATCCAAGCAGCACCCGTGGAACTGGGAATCAATAAAGCTCATTACCTGCTTTAGTGCTACCCTTTAATTGTCTACCTTGGCCAGTGATGGCTCTGCTATCTCCAGGGGTTGGAAACAGATGTTCTGTAAGGTCCCTCCTACCCAAAGCACTCTGAAATTCTGGGATTCTGGGATATGCAAATACCTGGGATCATGTTTTAAGCAAGTCAAGCCAGATTTGCTATTTTAACCCCATGCACTGATCTGATGTGAAGCCCTGCAGTGCAGTGACTCCAGGCACAGTGACTCTCAGTGTGACCCACATTTCCTGCCAGCCAGTATTTTTAGGGAGACATGGCTCTGTTCAGCACAGGGAATGTCTCAAAGTTTCAAACCCATCCACAGTTTGGACACCAGGAGGTTCCACAGCACAATTCCATCATTCCACACAAAGATATGGCACTGCTGGAGGACAAGCTTGGGTTTCCTTCCATTGTATCTGCCTGTAATTTACAGCTGCTGGATGTTTCTTTCTCCTACAGAACCTCCTTTCCTATTGGACAGGAGCCTCATCCTGAGCTTTAGCACAGTAAACTTGGCATAATACTTTCCTCACCTTCTCCCACACAAAAACTTGTAACACTACTTAGAGACATTTTTACAGTTCTTCATTAATCGTTTCTGCTTTTTTCACAACTATTCCATATTTTATATTTACCCAAGAGTGGTGTGAAAAACAGCACAAAGATTCTAGAAATCATGGAATCACAGACTGGTTTCCATGGGAAGAGATGTTAAAGCCCATCCCATTCCACCCCCTGCCATCATCAGGGACACTTTCCACTATCCCAGGCTGCTCCAAGCCTCATCCAACCTGGCATTGGACACTGCCAGGGATGGGCCAGACACAGCTTCTCAGGGCAGTGGTTCAAAAGAGCCCTGAGTGAAAAATTCCACATTTTTCCTCCTGTTCCCTTCCTTTCCTCCCTTAGTGCCTCACACAGACCCCCCTGCTCCTCAATGCTCTCTGTCCATCATCCTTATTCCAAGAAGGATCCAAGACTTTTCTCAGAAAATTTGGTGACCCTGACACCTTGTGCAGGCTGCCCTAGAGCAGAGGCTGGATGGAGTTCCAGAATAAAGCAGGGATTGATTCAAAGCATCTCCTCCATGCATCCACCTTGGGCAGCACAAGAGCCCAGCCAGGCCTGCACCCAAGATGAACCAAAATGGCCCCAAAATGCACGGCCGGGCACGGGGTCTCTCCCTGGGATCAGTTCTGCTCCATTTGCACCTTGCAGTTCATTGTCCCATTCCAGCTTTAGCCCCTGCAGTCCCACCCTGCTTGTTTTTCTTTCTCCAGCCCACGGGGTTTGTGCTCTGGGGCTGAGATTTGGGTCATTTGTCCTTGGTGCCCAGCTGGAGCAGAAATTGTTTTGTCTCCCTGCTCTGTGCACAGAGCTCACCATGCCCTGATGTGGAGCCCAGACCCACACACTAAAGCAGCACAGAATGTGAAAATACAAAAGCTAAACCTGAGGCATCAGCCCAGCTCTAAGCCCTCTGAATCCCAGCCTGTGGCAGGCAGTGTTACCTGTTGGAGTGTGCTTTTTAGTTTTATTAATGTGCTTGCTGTTTAATTTGTAATTTTGTAATTTCCTTATGCCGTCCTTTTCTCTGCCTTGGTTGCCCATTTTGTATTTTATGTTTTAAAAACCAGACTTGTTCCTTTATTGTTATTTAGTTTAGTTAAGTGTTAGTTTTTTGTTTGTTACCTAGCTATTTCCTGCCAGTTTTAAACCCCTTCTATCCATACCCCTGTCCCAGAACTTTCTTTACTCCTCCTTTCACGAAATGCCAGTCTCTCCCTGATCCTGCCCTTTTGCCTAGAAACTTCCTTGTCAGTTTTGTATTCTTTCAAACCCCATTAGTTCACTGAAGCTGTTGTCCTTCCTTGAAATCCTTCATTGGTTTATACACCTTGTATTCCCCACCTCCCCCAGTTTATAAGCTGTTGTTTGCCCCCAGTTCAGGGTCCTGGGACGAGGGGGAGTTTTGCCATCTAACAAAGTTACCCCGAGTTCTACCCCAGGCCCGCGCTGTGGCCCTTTTGTTCCGCTGGGATTCTGGGGGTCTGCAAGAGGGGACTGTCACCCCCTGTCACCGTGCACCAGGAGGTGTGGCAGTTACCCTGACGATGTTGGGCAGCACCAGGCCGGGGCTGCTCTCCGTGTCCAGCAGCAGCTGCCGCGCCCCGCGGATGCGCTCCCGGAAATCTCTGGCGTTCAGGGAGCCCACGAGGTCCCTGAGGTGCTCCTCACCCTCCAGGGCGCTGCGAGGGGCTGCTCTGCGAGCGGCCTCCTGGCTCTCCGTGCTGTCCCTGTGGGAAAGGGAAATGGCATTCCACGAGCTGCAACATTCTCTTCAGTAGCAGAAGTAAACACAAAGTTTTACCTTAAATATGGTGAATTTAAAAGAAATCACCTAATAGTAATTATTGTTCCCAAAGTCTTATGTCCACTCTGCTCCAAATGCAGGTGGTTTTGTGACTGGGAACAACTGGGAACTTGCCTTACATCATAGCCACCCCACTGAAATCCGATCAGACTGACAACAAACCCCCACTATTTACTGTCCCCTATCCACTAGTAACCCCAACACACCTCCCATTGCCACCCCACTACCACAACCAACCCCATCCCAAAACCCCCAAACTTATTGTAGTTTAAATCTTTATTTCCAGAGTACTTTAAAGGCTGACCCCAGTGCAGCTGTTACCTCAGCAACTCTCCACGCTGAGCTGAAAACCCAACAGCTCTTCCTAGAATATTTAAAACCAAATTTCCTGTGGCACCTGATCTCATTAGGGAGGCATGGAAAGAATTCTAAAACCTGTGGAATCACCTCTCTGTCCAGGTATTTACAGACCATCCAGGCAGTCATTACCTCACTCCTAATTCCTGAACACAAGGCTTGGATGGGGAATGGAATAAGCAATCAAAATTGATCAGTAAATGTAGAACCAGTTATTATTTTGAACTGTGGAGGGTTGTGTTAAAGAACTCTGGTTCTGAAGAGACACTGCAGTCACAGCCCTCTGAACTCTGTGTTATTGGATGCAGTTTTTGGCTCCCTTTAAATCCGGGAGTGCTTCTTTTTCAGCTCATTGAATCACCATGGAATGGCTGGGGTTGGAAGGAACCTTCAACCTCACCCAGTGCCACCCCTGCCATGGCAGTGACACCTCCCACTGTCCCAGGGTGTCCCAGTGTCCAACCTGGCCTTGGGCACTGCCAGGGATGCAGGGGCAGCCCCAGCTGCTCTGGCAATTCTGTGCCAGGCCTGCCCACCCTCCCAGAAAGGATACACTGATGTGTCCTGGGGTGCTCCTCAGTGTTCCTGTATCCCAGATCCAGCTCAGCCAGGGACCCTGTGTGTGTGTGTGTGTGTGTGTGTGTGGTGCTGTCCTGGGGGTTTGTAAAATCCCCCCACTCAGGCACTTTGTGGGATTTCTCTGTGTGGTGCTGCCTTTGCAGTTTCTTGCTCTTTGCTCAGGCAGATGTTCTTTTTTCTTCCCTTTTTGAGTTCCCTTTTCATTTTGGGTTTTTCCCTCAGCTTGGAGGGACTGCAGTGAGCAGGTTTGAGCTGCCTTAAGGATGAATTCTGTGAGTGCTTGTCCACAGCTGAGGAATCCCAGCCTGAGCAGAGCAGCCCCACTCCAGACCACTGTGGGCAGCACCAACCAGGGAGAGACAGCCCTGAGTGGCCCCTGCCCTGCCTGCCCTGCTGTGGGGAGGAGCTGATGCTGGATGAGCTGCCAGGCCTTTGTCTGCTGTGGAACTGCTCCACCAGGCTTCCCAAGAGGGATCTGACACCAGCTTGTCCCTTTGTCCAAAGCCCAAGGCCATCCCTGATAACAATGTGTATTTCCAGCATTTTGGGTCTCTTCTTTGCCCTGGGGAGTTAATGAGATTTAGCACTTTGCTATCCAGCAGTTATTTACATTTTTCCACGCTGCCTGTTGGGATTCCATTAAAAAACTGTTATTTTTTTCACTTATATCTACTCATATCTCATTCCTTATTGGCAGAAAGGGATTGATTGGAATCAAGGAATCAAGGGGAGGTCATTGCTCATTTCAGTGTCCACCTCACTAAACTGTCTCAAAGCAAGCCAAAGTGACAGTGCTGAGGAGGCCCCAGCACAGAACCAGACAGCAGAGGGTGGGAGGTGACACATTCTCCTCACTGGAGGAACCAGCAGGACATGGAAGCAGCTGTGTGGAGCCCTCCATGGGGAGTCATGGAAGCTCTGAGGGTGGATCCAGTCAGGCTGCAGAGCTGACAACCTCCAGGACACCCCTGAGCAAGGCAAGTGGCCAACACTCTCCCTCTGCACTGGCTGGTGGATGGTGCTCTAAGGGAGTGGCTGGAAAGGTGGAAAAATGAAAATTGGCAGCACAGAGGGAAACTGATTTTGGCTGCTGGAGAATGGCAGAACATCCCTGGCCAGGCAGAGGGGCTTACAGTGAAAGTCCATCCTGTGCCTCAGAGCTGGGCTGGTGAGGAGCACCACAACAGCAACAGCTGGGTCAGGCTGCAGAGTGAAGTGTCAAGGGTAGAGCTGGACTGCAAACAAGGGAGAGTTATTTCCAACTTGGTGGGGCCTCAGGTCACTGGGGAAGAGGTGCCACCTCTACATGGGCACGAGACCAAGGGGTGGCCTTACCATGGACACTATCCTGGGTAATCCATGACTGGATCTGTTGGGAAGGAGGAAAGTTTGACAAGAAAGTCTCACAGATGTGTGTGTGCTTAGCAGAAAGATTTTTGAATGTAGAGTCTGAAGAAGGAATAGAGATGGAAGCAAGTTTTGATATAGAAGAAAAGAATTGCTGAGCCAGCCTCACTGGATAACCAAGGAGGCAAAGGGTCTGTGAGTTAGAAGGGGTTTTATGGCTTAGAGCAAAGGATAAACCCACCCCAAACAAGAAGATGTTTTCACCAAGCAGAAAGAGAGCACAGGCAAACAAGGCAGCAAATGTGTCAAGGAGAAAAAAGGTCTCAGAATTTTCCAGTGCAAAACTGAAAAACAACTTCCAGCTGAAACTGTAATGTGCTGACTTTGAGTGATTGGAGAACAGCACCATGAATATGGGAATTACAGCAGTTATGATGGGCTGTAGGTAAAAGTTAAGGGATAGATTGGTTCTACTGGATGAAGATGCTCAGCAAAGAAAAGTCTCCAATGCATTGTACCCTAAACTAAGGGTGCCCAGGGCTGCCTGCAGCTGGAGCTGACAGCTGTGGGCACAGCTCTGTCACCCACGGCCCTGGGCTGCTGGGACACCTTGGATCCAATGAACTGCATTTGGGAGAGCCCCTGCAGTCCCACATCCCTCACTCAGGCTCTTACATGGATCCATGAAATGTGAGCTGCCATCAAGACCAAGTGGGACAAATCCTGTGGTCTGGGGTCTCAGGATAACTCTGGGCAGGCCCCTTGGTGCACACAGATGCAGGAGGGTGGGAAATACTGTGTGGATGGATTCTGCCTCCAGCAAAGATAAACCCATCCATGGGGCTGCCTCTGCTCAGGGGCCTGGCTGCACCTGGTGGGTGATGCAGAAATGTCTTGGGTACCTCAGGGGGATTGACTGGGGTGAGAAGGGCCTGGAATGCTGCAATGCCTGGGCACCCCTGGCTGCTCTGTGTCACTGCCACTGCAAGGTTTAACTCCCATGGGCTGCTCCAGTCCTACCAGAACTACCTGGGATATGCTGGGTGGGCAGTGACCACTGAAATAATTGTACTTGTGTGTGTGTATATATATATATATATATATATATATATATATATACACACACATATACATATGTATATACATATATATACATATATATATAAACATATATATACACATATATAATATATATACATGTATCTATATACATATATACATATACACATATACATATATATACACACATATATATCTATATACATATATATATATACACACACATACACATATAATGTATAGATATGTGTGTTTAAAGTAAATATGTACTGGTTTGGGCATCAATCAGATGATATGAAAGAAGGGGTGGAATGTCCTGGGATAATCCATAATGTCATTGTGTTCATATCTATCTGGGAATAAAAATTGCTACTGTATATCCAAGACCTAAAAAAGGTCAATATAAAACCTGTAAGAAGATAAAACAAAACTAAAAATGGTCAGAGTATGACCTAAACCCTCCAGCATTCCCAGTCAGGGTCTAAGTAAGTCCTTGGTGTCCAAAGTTGTGTAGAAATGAGTGATTTGTGCTGTGGCTCCAACCAGGAATGGTTTTTCCATGAGTCTGAACAGCAACATCTGGGATGATGCTGCCATGGATCCATTGGATCTCCATTGCCAGAGCAGCTGGGCTGCCCTGGGTCCCTGGCAGTGCCCAAGGCCAGGCTGGACAGGGCCTGGAGCAGCCTGGGACAGTGGGAGGTGTCCCTGCCATGGCAGGGGTGGTGCTGGGTGGAGTTTAAGGTCCTTCTAACCCAAACCATTCCATGATTCTGTGATTCCATCCTGTACATTCTAGGTGGCTTGTGTACTCTGTGTATCTCACAGATGGTCAGTACACAAGTTAACTTCAAAATGCACATAATCATTTTAATAGAACTGGTCACTCTGTTTAAGAGTTTCTCTGGAACAGATCAGTACTCTGCTTTTCCTTGAGGGATGTTTAACTTTCCCAGCCCTGTGTGGCTGTTTCTGTGCTCCCTCCTTAGCCAGGTTCCTCACAGGATAATGGAGCTCATTACCTGTCTGGCACGATGGGAGCATCTCTGCAAGTAGAGGATGACCTCAAATGTCCAACATTTCCAGTCTGGGAACGCCTTCCTTTGGCTGAGGGTGTATCCAAGGGCATCTCCCCCAGGCCCTGCACAAAGGCACAGCAGGAATTCATGGACCAGGGGAACCACAGGGAATCACTGTGGCTGCAGTGCTGCAATTCTCTACACCCAAGAGCCCCCAGGACACCTCCAGCTGCCCCAGGTGCTACACAAGAGCTTTCCCACACACCTTCTCTCGTAGGCTGCCAACAGTTTCCTTAATGTAAGGCAAATCCTTGGGGGGCACAAACTTCTCCAGGATTTTATCCAAGTCAGGATGAGCCATCATGCTGAAGAGCATCCTCCGCCCATAGTACCTGCAGGAGAGCACCAGGACATCCAGAACAGGGACTGGCTTTGTCATTCCAGGTGTGTGATTCAAAATGGAAAGGTGTAGGGAGGTTGTGTCCAGGGAAGGGAATGGAGCCCCAGGAGAGGCTGAGGGAGCTGGGCAGGGGCTGGAGAATCCCTGAGGGAGCTGGGCAGGGGCTGCAGAATCCCTGAGGGAGCTGGGCAGGGGCTGCAGAATCCCTGAGGGAGCTGGGCAGGGGCTGCAGAATCCCTGAGGGAGCTGGGCAGGGGCTGCAGAATCCCTGAGGGAGCTGGGCAGGGGCTGCAGAATCCCTGAGGGAGCTGGGCAGGGGCTGCAGAATCCCTGAGGGAGCTGGGCAGGGGCTCAGCCTGGAGCAAAGGAGGCTCAGGGGGCCCTTGTGGCTCTGCACAGCTCCTGCCAGGAGGGCACAGCCGGGGGGGTCGGGCTCTGCTCCAGGGCACAGGGACAGGAGCAGAGGGAACGGCCTCAGGCTGGGCCAGGGCAGCTCAGGGTGGGCACAGCAGGAATTTCCCCATGGAAAGGGGGCTCAGGCCTGGGCAGGGGCTGCCCAGGGAGGGTTGCAGTGCCCAGTCACTGTTATTGGAGCTCTCTTCCAACCTCAGTGATTCCAGGACTCTGAGATTGCTGACTCCCCTTTCCAATCCTCCCTCAGAGGATGTGCTCAAGGACCACTTTAATTAACTGAGCAAATTAATGAGAACAGCCATCCAGTTCTGCTGGCTTTAACCAGGGTGGTCCAGCCTTGTCAACCAGAGACATGGATCAGCTCCAGGTGTGGATTCCAGAGCCAGCATTCCCTGTGTGGCTGCCTCTCCTCTGTGCCCAGCACAGCACATCCTGTGAGCCCCTCTGCTCCTGCAGCCAGGGTGTGTGGGAGGTATCCAGGTGATTGCTGCCACAGGCACCACCCTAATAGTCCCACCAGTGCTGGCACAGCAGCTGCACTCCAAGATTTGTTTGGAAGGGACCTTAAATCCCATCCCCTTCCACCTCTGCCATGGGCCCATGGGCAGGGACACCTCCCACTAGCCTGGGGTGCTCCAGGCCCATCCAACCCTTACTGCTCCCTCAGTCTTTTCCCTCCTAACCCATCCTGTCCTGAGGGCACAGCTCCAGAGGCAGCTGGGCTGTGTCCCCAGGGACTGCTCACCCCAGAGCCCCAGAGGAGCTGTTCCCTGTCCCCAGGCCCCGCTCACCCCACAGCCCCAGGGGCTGTTCCCTGTCCCCAGGCCCCGCTCACCCCACAGCCCCAGGGGCTGTTCCCTGTCCCCAGGCCCTGCTCACCCCATAGCCTCAGGCCCTGCTCACCCCACACCTCACAGTCTGTTCCCCGTCCCCAGGCCCTGCTCAGCCCACAGCCCCAGGGGCTCAGGGCACAGTTCCCTGTCCCCAGCTCTGCTCACCGTGTCTGCTGGGAGCTGTCCTGCACAAACCTGGCCATGGCGGGCAGCAGCCGCTCAGCCACGGGCCGGCCCCCGGCCAGGACGCGCTCGGGGCCCAGGCGCTCCACGATGTCCCCCAGGTGCTGGGCTGTGCATCTCCTCACGGCCGAGTGCAGGTGGCTGGGGAGGCAGGGAGACAGCCTGAGGGACAGCCCTGCAGGGCTGCTCACAGCCCCACCCGCCCTGCCGGCCAAACAAACCCCGGGAGCACGGGAAGGGCTGGAAGGGACCTCCAGGCCCATCCCCTGCCAGCCCTGCCACGGCAGAAACACCTTCCAATAATCCCTGGACTCAGGCAGGGATTAATCCAGGGGAGTTTAGAATTTCAGTTCTAGTTTTCATTCAGATAATTTCATTTTACAAAGCATATGGCTGTTCTTTCAATGAGCTCTACCAAAAATCAGCCCCTGTGCTCAGAGACACATCCTGGGCACTTGACTAAAACTGACTAAAGCAAATTGACTTGAGATCATTTTAAAATTGACTAAAGCAGTGTTCAATCGACTCCTAAAGATCCTGCAGACCCTGCTTTGTACAAAATAAACACCTGTGCTGATGCAAAGGAGAGAAGAGCCAGAATCAGCTTTCCAACTTGTGCAGCAAATGATCCTTTTATCTAAATCCTGCTGCCCCTGCTGGTCCCACTTGTGTTCAGGAACAAAATCCTGCAAACTCTAACATCTCCAATTTTCTATTTGGATTAAAAATGCTACTTTGAGGACAATTTGTAACTCCTGCTGCACTTTCAAGGGAAAACAAGAATTGAGAGGCTGAGAGGCCTCACTCCATGAAGCAAACAAGCCCCTGCTCATGGAAACAGCTGGAAAACATTTGTGTGCACACAACACCCTAGAGTTAAACACAGTGCCTACAGGTAAGAAACAGGATTTTTAAATTCCTGAAGTAAAATCCCTCTCAGCTCTATCCCTGGAATCATGCTCTTGGATCATGAATCTGCTCACAGAATCCCAGACTGGGTTGGGAAAGAACCTTAAAGCTCATCTTGTTCCAAGCCCTGCCATGGGCAGGGACACCTCCCACTGGAATTATTCTTGTTGGCAAAGTCAAACCCAACTTTGGAGCTGATGAAGAATCAGCATTTCTGTCTAGTCAGGGCTGCCAGCATAAGAGCCATGATCACAGAGGGCTGGAAAGGAGCTGAGCAGAAACCAGGTGCATTTTAGGAGGTGCCATGAATTGTAAGTGACACCATAATTGAAGGATTGTGTTGTGGTGAATTTAAGCAACTCAGCCCAACTTAGACAGAACATCCCTTGTGGAATTACAGTTGTTTCAAACAATCCTTTTCACTTCCTACTGAGACACAGATTTCCCCCCTGAAGGGTGATTCCATATTCCTGTCAGGCCTCTGGAGCTGCCCTGTGCTCCAGGAGCTTTCCTGCTGACATGGCCAGAGCTTCCTAAAGCCAGGCCTAGAAAAGCTGCCCCTTTAGGCCATGCCCTGCTGTGTGATCCATTAAAAACATCCTGTACTCCATGAACTAGGAAAGTCTGAGCTATGAACAGATTAATCTGTGCCCAAATGCTGTCTTTAGCTCAGTTCTGATGCCTCAGATAGCAGAAAACCTGTACAAACTCACCAAGGGGAGGGGACAAATCCCTACAGAAAACCCCTGAGCAGGTGAGTTTGGATCCCAGGGAAGGTGAGGAGGTCTGGCAGAGACAGCTCTGCCCAGGAGGGCCAAGGGTCTGAGGCCAAGAAGGGAGAACCCAGACAGGGCACTGCCCCTTGCTGCTGAATGAAGCCATGGGCAGCTCCTGCCTGCTGCTCCTGAATCCACAAAGTCATGGAATCAGCCTGCTTTGGCTTGGGAGGGACCACAAATCCATGGGCAGGGACACCTTCCCCTATCCCAGGCTGCTCCAAGCCCTGTCCAGCCTGGCCTTGGACACTTCCAGGGGTGGGGCATCCACCCCAGGTCAGTCTGAACCCCAATAATCCATAAAGAATGGAAATCCCAAGGGTGACTTCTGTCTTTCAGTTTAAAGAGCAGGAAACTGCAGCAGAGCTGTCAGGAGACAGAATCCATGTATCCCCCAACAGGCAGCTGCCCAGGAAACAAAAGAGAACATTTTCAACTCTGAGAATTGGAGCTGTGCAGGAAATCTGTGGAGAGATTTTGAATGGAGCACCTGAAATGTGTCATGAAGGGAAATGGAGCCTGGGAAATGTCACCAAGGGGTGGCAGAGAAGAGAGGAAGCACCAGGGGGTGCACCCAGCTGGGATGTGGTGAGCAGTGAATGAGGATGGAAAAGGAAAACAGACTGATCAGGGACAGGGAAAGAAGGGAATTAACTCCACAGAAGAATGGCACTGAGAAGGAAATTGAAATGCAGACACAAAGGCTCAGCCTAGAGAGGAGGAATCAAGCAAGATAGGTGCAGCTAGAGAAATGGAAGTTATAAGTCAGTTTTCTAAATAAGGAGAGGTGCTGAAAAGTGGCCAAGGCAGGAACTGACTGCAGAGCAAAGGAGGAAAAGAAAGAACATTATGTCAGCTTTACCAGGCAAAGCAAAACAGCAGCTCCCCAAGAATATACAGTAACAGCAAATAAAATCACTGAAGTGGTGCAAAATAGCCAGAAAATACACCAAAATCAACAGCCAACCTCTTACATAATGCACAGAAAGGAACAGAGGGGCTTTAATTCAATTTATGCCAACAAACATTGCCCTGGGTAGAGGTTTAGCACAGCTGATTTACTGGTTTTCAAATTTCTGTCTACTGTACTCTGATTTGATGGTAAAAAGCCTACATTTGATAAATTTACTCTATTCACAATATTCTTTATAAAGTCTTTATAGGAATTACCTTTGCCCTCCATTTATAAGAGAACAAAGTGCACGTGCTGGAGTCACATTATTAACCATGGCCTTCAGTGCCTTGTCTACCTCTTCCCTTATAAAAGTGTTGGATTCCCCAGCTTTGTGCAAAAGGACTTTTACTGCATTATCTAGTTCTTGATCCATGCTCTTTTTCAGGTGGGTGAACAAATCCCCTAAACAGACCACAGCAGCTCGAGAAACACCTGAGCGTAAATTCTTGACCTGCACACAGGAAAAACCCAAAAAACAATGAATAATGTTGATCAGAGAGACTTCAAAATAAATATTCATGTTTGCCCGTTGTAACTTTTAAGTAACATTACAAACAATTGAGAAACACATTACTAACTTGATTCACAATGTGTGAGAATTAAAATGCACACTCATAAAAATGTTATAAAGTTAAAATCTACATTCTCTCAGCCTCTGAGTCTCAAATCATCCTTGAGACTGCTCAGTTGATAAAAACTCACCAGAGGTGAGCATAAATCATTTCAGAGAGCTGTAAAATACATATATACACACGGAGGGCCAGTGGAATATTCTGATAGGAAAATTTAACCTCTTGAGCCACAGCCAGAGTTGTTTCATGGAGCTTTGCAGTCAAAATAGGGGCATGGTAGGCAGACAAGCACCTGACAAAGTTCAGACCTTCAATTTTCTTCTCCCTGTGTGAAAAAATAATATTTAAATTCCATCCATTTGAAAAATCTCATTAAAATATTCAAGTGTGGAATTCTAAGGAATCAAATGGCAAACAAATCAGATGGTAAAATAAAGCAATGAGAAATAATCCCAGAATGGTTTGGGTTCAAAAGGACCTCAAACCCCACCCAGTGCCACCCCTGCCATGGCAGGGACACCTCCCACTGTCCCAGGGTGCCCCAGTGTCCAGCCTGGCCTTGGGCACTGCCAGGGATCCAGGGGCAGCCACAGCTGCTCTGGGCACCTGTGCCAGGCCTGCCCACCCTGCCAGGCAAGAAATAGAGCAGGAAACTCTCTCCAAACAAATCTGCCTTTTCCTATGGGACTGTTCCAGCCCTGCAGCCTCTCCCACAGTTCTGCTCCCAGCTGGCACCAGTGGCAATTAAAGGATCTGTTTCCTTCCCCAGACTCAAGGGAGCAGCTCTGTAAGCACATCCCTAGTCAGGAGGCACCCAAGAGATGCTTTTATTCCACACAAAGCACCGAGGATGAGCTGCTAATTCCACACAGAGCACCTAAAGGAGCTTCTCATTCCAGATAGAGCCCCAAGGCTGGGCTGGTAATTCACAGAGAGCCCCAAGGCTGGGCTGCTGATTTTACACAGAGTTCCAAGGTTGGGCTGCTGATTTTACACAGAGAATCAAGGCTGGGCTGCTGGTTCCACACAGAGCCCCAAGGTTGGGCTGGTAATTCACAGAGAGCCCCAAGGCTGGGCTGCTGATTTTACACAGAGTTCCAAGGTTGGGCTGCTGATTTTACACAGAGAATCAAGGCTGGGCTTTGCTGATTTTACACAGAATTCCAAGGTTGGGCTGCTGATTTTACACAGAGAATCAAGGCTGGGCTGCTGATTTTACACAGAGAATCAAGGCTGGGCTGCTGGTTCCACACAGAGCCCCAAGGCTGGGCTGCTGATTTTACACAGAGAATCAAGGCTGGGCTGCTGATTTTACACAGAGAATCAAGGCTGGGCTGCTGGTTCCACACAGAGCCCCAGGAAGGTGTTGGTGGTGCCTCTCCAGCCCTTCTACTCTCCAAGCCTCTGGAGGCCCAGTTCCCAGCCCTAATTTACAAAGCTCCTTTCATCTCAAACTTGACTGAACCCCCCTGTCAGATTCAGTCCTTTTCTGACCCAGAGATGAGGTAACTGAGAGGTGTTTTAAAACCTCGTTTTTTTAAAAACTTTTATATTTACACAGTATCTATTTGTTCACATACAAACACATACCATGTAAACCTTCTATCAAACTATAACATTCCCTACCAATCCAGTTCCCACCCTGTTTGTCTCCTCTCTCACTCAGTGCCCTGGCTGTCTCTGCCCTGTGCTGTGTTGCACACCTGCCCAGCCCCGTGCACTCCCTGCCAAGCCCCGTGCCCAGTGCCGTGCCCAGCCCCCTGCCCAGCCCCCTGCCCAGCCCCGTGCCCGCTGTGCCCAGCCCCGTGCCCGCTGTGCCCAGCCCTGCCCAGCCCCGTGCCCGCTGTGCCCAGCCCCGTGCCCGCTGTGCCCAGCCCCGTGCCCAGCCCCGTGCCCGCCATGCCCAGCCCCGCACGCACCAGTCGTGGTCAGCCAGCAGTGCCAGCGCCTCTGCCAGGGCGGGCTCGGGCCGGGGGAAGGGCAGCAGCTCGGCCGGGTCCAGCACCTCGGGGCTCTGCGTCACCGGCGGCTCCCGGCAGCGGCCCCGCCCCGCGCACGGCTCCTCTGAGGACAGGGAACCTCATCAGGGACAGGGACACACCATGGGACACACCATCAGGGACAGGGACACACCATGGGACACACCATCAGGGACAGGGACACACCATGGGACACATCATCAGGGACAGGGACACACCATGGGACACACCATCAGGGACAGGGACACACCATGGGACACACCATCAGGGACAGGGCACACCATCAGGGACAGGGGACACACCATGGGACACATCATCAGGGACAGGGAACATCATCAGGGACAGGGACACACCATGGGACACACCATCAGGGACAGGGGACACCATCAGGGACAGGGACACACCATGGGACACACCATCAGGGACAGGGGACACATCATGGGACACATCATCACTGACAGGGGACACACCATCAGGGACAGGGGACACATCATGGGACATGCCCGTCAGGGACAGGGGATACACCATCAGGGACAGGGGACACACCATGGGACACACCATCAGGGACAGGGACACACCATGGGACACACCATCAGGGACAGGGACACCATCAGGGACAGGGGACACACCATGGGACACATCATCAGGGACAGGGACACACCATGGGACACATCATCACTGACAGGGGACACACCATGGGACACACCATCAGGGACAGGGGACACACCATGGGACACATCATCAGGGACAGGGGACACACCATCAGGGACAGGGGACACATCATGGGACACGCCCGTCAGGGACAGGGGATACACCATCAGGGACAGGGGACACACCATGGGACACACCATCAGGGACAGGGACATGCTGAAAGCGACAGGGGACACCATCAGGGACAGGGGACACAGCTCTGACACAGACACCATCAGTGACAGGGGACAGGCCATCAGGGACAGGGGACACATCATCAGTGACATGGGACACACCATCTGTGACAAGGAGCATGCCATCAATGACAGGGGACACAGCTCTGTGTCACAGGACACACCATGGGACACACCATCAATGACACGGGACACACCATCAGTGATAGAGGACACAGCTCTGACAGGGGTCACACCATCAGTGACACAGGACACGCCATCAGTGACATGGGACACACCATCACAGACATGGGACACGCCATCAGTGACATGGGACACACCAGCAGGGACAGGGGACACACCAGCAGGGACAAGGGACATGCCATCAGTGACATGGGACACGCCATCAGTGACACGGGACACACCATCAGTGGCACAGGACACGCCATCAGTGGCACAGGACACACCAGCAGTGACATGGGACACGCCATCACTGACAGGGGACACGCCATCACTGACACGGGACACGCCATCACTGACACGGGACACGCCATCACTGACAGGGGACACACCAGCAGTGGCTGTGCCAGCTGCAGGCAGCCACAGAACAGACTGAAGCACAAAGTGCTGCTGCAGGACACAGGGACTGCAAAGGACACCCAGCCCCAGAATGGTTTGGGTTGGGAGGAGCTCAAACCCCATCCATGGGCAGGGACACCTCCCACTGACACCTTCAGTTCCAGCTTTTGTGTTTTCCAGACTCTGCACTGCACTGAGGTGTGACTGCACTCCACACACAGTGCCAGCAGCTCTCCTCACACAGAACAATCCTTTCCCTCTCCTCAGACACACAGAACAATCCTTTCCCTCTCCTCAATTACACAGAACAATCCTTTCCTCTCCTCAGACACACAGAACAATCCTTTCCCTCTCCTCAGGCACTCAGAACAATCCTTTCCTCTCCTCACACAGAACAATTCTTTCCTCTCCTCACACAGAACAATTCTTTCCTCTCCTCACACAGAACAATCCTTTCCTCTCCTCAGGCACACAGAACAATCCTTTCCCTCTTCTCAGGCACTCTCAATCCTTTTCCAGCCCCAGAACCAAGGGCACCACTGCAGCTTCAGCCCCAAAAGGGCAAACAGGGGATGGAGGAGAGCAGCCTGGGAGGGTGGAGCTGCATCACCTGGAGCTGGGATTGGACACTGAACCCAACATGGAAATGGACCAGAACTGATAAAAGTGTGAGAACTCCTGACCCAGGGTCCATCAGGGGTGCAGCCCTGGCTGGGCTCTTGCACTGCCCAAGGTGTGTCCTGTGAGGGAATGATTTCCTTTGAATAAATCCCTGCTTTGTCCTTTAACTCTGCCCAGCCTCTGTTCTAGGCATCACCACCATGCCAGGCCAAGCCCTGGCCTTGGACACTTCCAGGGATCCAGGGGCAGTCCCAACCAATCACACTTTCATTCATGTAAATTCAATTTTGCACACAACCTTCACTTTTAAGAGTCACCAACACAAAGGTAGTGGTTGTTTCATGTAAAAAGAGATGCACAGTGTGCTAACAACATCATAAATCTTGAAGAGACACTAGACAAATTCTGGCCACCTTTGAGCACCATCAGTAGGAGCTTCTACTCTCAACATTTTCCTACTGGTTATTTTAAAGGCAATTCAGTGCCAAAATGTACCCAGAAAAGGGTTTTGGGGACAGGAGGGAGTCAGTGTGCTGGTAATGCACTGTATCATTTCAGATCCTGAATTTCAGATCCTGATCCAACTAAAAGCCTCTGATGTTTTATGAAACTCCCTAACAGTGATCACCTGAATCCCCCCTGAGGAATTAAATCCCCTCCAGCCCCAGCCCCACAGTACTGATCTTCCAGAGCACCTCAGGACTGTCCCCTGCACAAATAAATTGCATTTTGAAACTGTCCCACTCCACCTACCCAAATATTTTAAGAGTTTACTGCCCCAGCTTACCAGAATCTAGCAAGGATGAACACTTGGACCTCTTCAAACTGGATGTTCTTTTCAGGGAAGGGTTCAAGGCCACATTTTCTAAGGACAAAGATCCATTTTTTGGTGATGTCAGTAAATCCCCACAGAGACTAAACCCTAGGAAAGAAGAAAATGGCCAAAATACAATAAAACCAATCAGAAGCAAGTTAAAACTGAGCATTACCAGCCCTAATTTCCATTTCAGCAGCATTGAACAGGGAATATTCATTTAAGACAAACCCTCATCCTCACTTTCTGCTGTGAGTTTCTCTGGTTCACTCATGCTCAGTCTAATCCTTTCCCAAGGGAATTCTTCCTTCCCTTCCAAGTCTTTGCCTTCCTGCTGCTCTTTATGGTTGTGCTCTTTGTCTTCTTTCCTCCTCCTCCTCAGCTTCTCCTGAGCAGATTTTGACAAGGTCATTTTTATCTGAAAAAAAAAAAAAAAATCAAACATAAATTACCATAGAACTGAATGCCCAGTTCCTGATGCTGGCCAAGGTCAGCATGGAAAATCAGGATCTTCTCTGATCTGATCCTTCTCTCTCCTGTGTTTATGACACTTTTTGTGCCTCAGGAAAACTCAGCAAATAAATCTAATCCAGTTAAATTTAAGTTCAGTTTAATAAATTTAATCCATTTACTCATTTGAATCTGATCCTGCCAAGGGTTTATATATTCAGAGGAAATTAGAAAATTAAGACACTGTAAATCATTAACTTCAAGTTTCAGTATTCTTCAAATGGTATTTTAAAGGCTTGCAGAAAGAGTTCCATTTCAATGTTTTTTGACTTTCTATGACATTTCATTCAGATAAATCTTGCTCCATTTACATTTGTAAATAATTTTTAACAAACAGCACCACTCCTCAGAGACCAGATTATGGCCAAATATTCAGGAAGGCTTTTAAGAAAAACTGATTGGAGCTGGATTTGTTCATCCCTGAGGAAAACCAGACCTGATCCCACCCAGCCAATCCTTCCTTCCACATCTGCTTGTGCTGTGGGAGTCAGGGAGGGCATTTCCCAGCTCCACTCCTTCCTGCAGCCTCTCTCCAGGGATCTGAGCATGGTGGGAAGCTCCTGGCACATCCAGGTGGCACCAAAAGAGAATCAGGAGCAGCAGCTTGAAGCCTTTGGCTGTTCCAGTCCAACTCTGCTGCCCCAGCACAGACTGTGAGTGAGCAGGGCTGGCTTCACCCCACACCCACCAGGCTGGGCAGGTCTTACCTCTCCTTCCTTCCCTGCATGGCAACAGGAATGGGAAGGGCTGTTCTGCTGGAGGCTTCTCCCTGGGGCTGCCTCTGCTCCCTCCCTGGCACCCTGGGCATCCCCATTGGCCACACAGGGCATGGGCAGGCTGGCATCTGGGCCAGGAGGGCTCCCAAAAACACCTGGAGGGCAGAACATGGGGTCACAGACTGCTGTGGGATGGCAGGGACATCAAACCATCTCATTCCAGACTGGAATTGTCTATCCAGGAACTGCACCACTTTCAAACATCATTCTTTGTGCTCCCAGGGAACTGGGGATTGTCAGTGACCTAAAACATTGCACAGATCTTTTTGTTCTTTCCCCACTCTACAAAGGCACATTTGCCCTCATTTCATAACTCAAAGAGACACAGGGGATGATTTGGGGTCTATAGTACCTTTGCCAACAACAGCAACGTCTCCAGATGTGAAACCCAGATCATCCTTTGGTGCAAAACCAGGCACTGACTCTGCAGGGCCTGAAAGCACAAAGAGCACTCACTCACTCACTGCCCAGCATGGTGCTTATGCTTTGGGATGTGCTTCATCCTCCTAAAATGTCACCCCACATCTGGATTGATCCCTTTCCTGAACCAGGGCATTGCAAGGTTACTGAAGCCAGCAGGATCTGTTGAACACCCAGATGAGGGATGTTCACATCGCACTGCCACCAGCCTGGAGCCAGGCTGGGGATGTTCCCCTGGAGAGGAGAAGGCTCCAGGGAGAGCTGGGAATGTTCCCCTGGAGAGGAAAAGGCTCCAGGGAGAGCTGGGAATGTTCCCCTGGAGAGGAAAAGGCTCCAGGGAGAGCTGGGAATGTTCCTCTGGAGAGGAGAAGGCTCCAGGGAGAGCTGGGAATGTTCCCCTGGAGAGGAGAAGGCTCCAGGGAGAGCTGGGAATGTTCCCCTGGAGAGGAGAAGGCTCCAGGGAGAGCTGGGAATGTTCCCCTGGAGAGGAGAAGGCTCCAGGGAGAGCTGGGAATGTTTCCCTGGAGAGGAGAAGGCTCCAGGGAGAGCTCAGAGCCCCTGGCAGGGCCTGAAGGGGCTCCAGGAGAGCTGGAGAGGGACTGGGGACAAGGATGGAGGGACAGCCAGTGGACACAGCTCCCTCAGTGCCTTTCCTCCATCCAGTAGAACCAGAACTGATTAAACACAAATCATCCTGATAGTATAGGGATAAAATGTTTCTAAAATCAAGGGATATTCAGGGGAGGTGGCAAGAAAGGTTGGGCCTGGTAGGCCCTGAGAAAATCTTAGGCTTTACTGGATTATGTGAAATTGCACCTGTATAATCATTTAATGACTATGATAAATGATTATTAAATGTGATGATTGTTTGGTAATTGGATATAATTATTGTTTAATTGTAACAAGAATCATGACAAATGATGTTTGTGGGGTTTGATGGAAATTACAAAATTCATGCTTGGATGAAATCAATGTATACAATAGAACAAGATAAGTTTAATAATTAATATGTAGTTATATAATGATAAGGGTATAAGAACGTGTTCATCCTGAACCCATGTCCAAGTCAGCTTTGGGTCTGTACCCCTAACACCCAGAGCTCTTCAATGAAAGCAATAAAAGCACAGAATCATTCTGTAATTATGTGTTCCTGAACACTAATGATCCCCCACAGTTAATAATCACCTGCAGTGACCTGGGAGGGTGAAGCACACAGCAGCACTTCACCTCAATTCCCACAGGAAAGCAGCTGCAACTCCTCACCTGAGCACCCTGAAATCCCAGTTTGGCCCAGGGCAGCTGGAAATTCCCTTTGGCAGGAGCTGAGGGACGTGGGCTCAGTGCCCAGGGACACTCTGGTCCCTCAGGTGAGCACTGACAGGAACATACCTGTGCTGGGGGGGGGCTCTGCCCCCTCTGGGGCTCTGGGCCTTGCTGGAGATGCTTCTGCAAGGTGGGATTTGCTGCCAAGTGCTGGAAAAGTGTCTGACCTGTGCAGAGAAACACATTTTGTAGGTGCAATTCTGCACAATGGTCAAAGCTCAGCCAGAAACAACAACAGATTTCAGTTTCTCCATGGCAAAACTATTCCCAGTATTCCCACAAATGTTCACACTGAGCAGGAACAGAATTCAGTGGGAATTATTGGATGAGCAGGTCCATTATGAAGAACACCCTAAAGAAAACCCTTAGGAGGAAACCTTACACCAGGACTAAATTTAGGATACACCCATAAAGTAAGGGATTGTTTGGCCTGGGGATTGAGGATGCTGGTTCCAACCTGGCCAGGGAGAGTGACCAAATCCTCCTGCCTCAACAGGGATGGGCTGTTCCCAGCTCAGCAGCCAGCAGAGACATTCACCAGGAAAATGCTCTTATCTACTGCAACAATTTGAAATGATTTTAAATTTCAAATGATTCTCTGGAATGAAAGATGATGGAACCCAGAGCCAGTGCAATACCCACAACTAAAGACTCTTTGAAGCTCCAAGGTGTGCCCATGCTCCAGGAATGTCCCCAGTTCCTGTGTCCCACCACCCATGGCAGTTCATCAGCAGAGAAACCAAACCCTTCCCAAAGCAAACCCCCAAAGCTCCCACTCCTGGTGCCCAGCCACAGATTGTGGGAACAGCCAGTGCCACTTTGTGCCAGTGCTCACAAACCCCCTGAGCTGAGCTGAACTCCCTGGCCTTTTCCTGAGCACTGCAAGGCTTTCAGTGTCACCTGGGATGGACTCTGTCCCTTCCCCAGCTCATGGGCACTGCCAGGTGTCCCCTCTCCTCCTGGCTGCTGCACAACTCCTCTGGCTGAGGATGCAGGGAAGCACCAAGCACTGGACAGTGGCCATGGCCATGCTGTACAGAGCCTGCCTCAGGCCAAACCAGCACAGCCAGGCCTCCACAGCCTTGGCTTCTGAAGGATTACACATCTCAACGTGGCATTTTAAAGGTTATTTTTAAAAATGTGACTCAGCAGTAATGCACATGGGGAAGGGATGTGAATATAAATTAGCTCTGGGCTGCACAACTGAAATCCTTCTGTTTGTGAATCACTGCAGGCTCCCTCTGCCTCAAACCCCTTTGCTTTTTATGTTCCCCATTTTGCTTTCTGTTGTTAATGCAGTTCAGTGTCAGTTACATGGGAGGTTCCCTGCTCATGCAGGGCTGGAATTAGGGGATTTTTCAGGTCCCCTAATGCAGTTCAGTGTCAGTTACATGGGAGGTTCCCTGCTCATGTAGGGCTGGAATTAGGGGATTTTTCAGGTCCCTTCCAACCCAAACCACTCTGGGAGTCTGTGAGTCTATAAAAGATGCTTTTAGTACACACAAAAATATCTTCAGAGCAGAGCTACAAAGAGCTTCATCATGGACTCTGAGAGCAGGGGAGGAGATTCTTGGACTGGAAAATTAGCAAAATTCATCAAAACTCTTTTAATTACATTAAACAATAGTTTATACTGCTCATAACCAACTGGGTTATTGTCCTTTACAATCAGAGCAGCATTTGTCACCACCCAATTTCTATTTAGAAGAGCTCAGGGAAGGCATTTTAAATTCACAATGATCTCTCAAGAATAAATGGAACCAGCTCTTGATCCACAATAAGAAACATCTGCATTGTTTTCCTCTTTTCAACAAACCCAATTCAATTTCCAGGCTATAATAACCCAACCTTACCCTTCCTCTTCACTCTTGTCCTTCTCACTCCCCTGTTCAGCTTTGGCCATGTTCCTGCAGTGCCAGGGAATGTCTTTATCAAATATTTACTGCCCCTGGCACTGCCCCCTGCCCTGGTCTACTGCAGCTTCATGTTGGAAGCCAGAAAAAAAAATAGAATAATGTCATTAAGCAGCTCTTGTCATTTTAGAGAGGAACAAAATCCACATAGAAAAATCAGGCTATTAGCAAGGCAATGCTATATAAAACACGAAGCAGTCAATATAACGAATTAACCAAGGCTGTGTGGGGCTCCCAGGCTGAGGTGACACCAAGTGACACTCACATCACTCTCCTCCTGCGGGGCAGCGTGGCCACGGGCGAGCCCAGGGACTCCTGGCTGGAAATTCCGCTCTCGCCGGTGGAGGTGGTGCCGGGGGAGGAGCCCAGGGACGGGCAGTCCCCGGGAAATTCCAGTTTCACCGCCGAGTCGGGGCTCTCCAGCTCGGCCATGCTGCTGCTCAGCTTGGCTCTCTTCTTGGCTGCACTGCTCCGCAGGGACCGCAGGGAATTCTGCATCTGCACAGGGGGAAAGGACAGAGGGTGATCACTGCACAGGGAAAAGGGTTTGCAGCTAAATAAAAACAACCTCAGGGAATTCTGCATCTGCACAGGGGGAAAGGACAGGGGGTGCTCACTGCAATGGGAAAAGGGTTTGCAGCTAAATAAAAACCTCAGAGAATTCTGCATCTGCACAGGGGGGGAAAGGACAGGGGGTGCTCACTGCACAGGGAAAAGGGTTTGCAGCTAAATAAAAACCTCAGGGAATTCTGCATCTGGACAGGGGGGGAAAGGACAGGGGGTGCTCACTGCACTGGGAAAAGGGTTTGCAGCTAAATAAAAAAAACCTCAGGGAATTCTGCATCTGGACAGGGGGGAAAGGACAGGGGGTGCTCACTGCACAGGGAAAAGGGTTTGCAGCTAAATAAAAACCTCAGAGAATTCTGCATCTGCACAGGGGGAAAGGACAGGGGGTGCTCACTGCACTGGGAAAAGGGTTTGCAGCTAAATAAAAACCTCAGGGAATTCTGCATCTGGACAGGGGGAAAAGGACAGGGGGTGCTCATTGCAGAGGGAAGAGGTTTTTTCAGCTAAATAAAGACTATTTCTGAGAGTTCAGCCCACTCCATGGGGTGCTCAAGGCCCTGCTGGGCAGTGTGATCAGCACACACACTTTTTGGGGGGATTTTAATGGGTTTTGGGGGATTATAATGATCCCTCCTCCTGGTTTCACACAGAATCACTGGGTTGGAAGACCTACAAGATCATTCAGTCCAACCCAGCCCCAACCCCTCAACTAAACCCTGGCACCCAGTGCCACATCCAGGCTGTTTTTAAATACATCCAGAGATGGTTTAAAACCAGGCCATTCCAGAACTTGATCACTTTTTCCATAAAGAACTTTTTGCTAATATTAATCATCCTGTGAGCAAACACAGCCTCACAGCAGTGCTGTACCCCAGCTCCCCTCTCCAGAGTCCAGGGACAGACTCCTGCTGGAACACAGCAACTGCTCTGTGCTTTTCAGGGGGCTAAAGGAGGGGTTTGATGGCTGCCAAAACACAGTGGGACTCAGGCTCCTCCCAGCAAATCTGCACATCCTAGAAACAGAACCATGGAACAGCTTGGAAAGGACCTTAAGGGTCATCCCATTCACCCCTGCCATGGCAGGGACACCTCCCACTGTCCCAGGGTGTCCCAGCCCCAGTGTCCAACCTGGCCTTGGGCACTGCCAGGGATCCAGGGGCAGCCACAGCTGCTCTGGGAACTCATCCCAGACCCTCCCAGCCAGGAATTTCTTCCCAATATTCCATCTAAACCTCCTCTAAATCATACAATCAGTGCCCAGCAAGCAGAGATCCTACTGAAATGAGCAGTGATTAATAATAATAATAATAATAATAATAATAATAATAATAATAATAATAATAATAAACTATATTATAAATAATATATTATCTAATATAAATATATTAATCTATATTATTATTATTATTATTATTATTATTATTATTATTATTATTATTATTATTATTATATTAACTATAATTATTAGAGTTTCATGCTGCAGCATTTCCCCCTCTGTTTGCCAACTACTTTTCACGTTAGAAATTCCTCCTCTGTTTAACACCTCAGGCTCCTTTCAGTGGGAACCAGAAGATGGCAGGTACAGAAGAAGACAGAAAAGGAATGTACAGACAGAAGGGCAAAGCCAGGAAGTCACAGGACCCTGGACTGGTTTGGGATGGAGGCACCTTGAAGCTCACCTTGTCCCACAGGTGGGGACACCTTCCAGCACCCTAGGCTGCTCCAAAGCCCTGAACGCTTCCAGGGATGTGGAACACTGCTAAAAATCCATTTATCCCATTTCACCCACCTCCTCTTGGTCCACCTGCTCAGGCTGCAGGTGCAGCTCTGCCAGCCCTGCTGCCAGCTCCGTGCCCTCCCTGCTGCCAGGGGGCTCCCGGGGGCTGGGCAGCCGCGGGATGGGGGGCACGGGCCGGGCACCCCTCAGGGCCTGCCCTCTGCCCAGGGAGCTCCTCAGCTGCAGGGGGGGCTTCTCCAGCTGCAGGGAATGCTTCTCCAGCTGCAGGAGGGGCTTCTCCAGCTGCAGGGAAGGCTTCTCCAGCTGCAGGGAGGGCTTCTCCAGCTGCAGGGAATGCTTCTCCAGCTGCAGGGAATGCTTCTCCAGCTGCAGGAGGGGCTTCTCCAGCTGCAGGGAAGGCTTCTCCAGCTGCAGGGGGGGCTTCTCCAGCTGCAGGAGGGGCTTCTCCAGCTGCAGGGCAGGCTTCTCCAGCTGCAGGGCAGGCTTCTCCAGCTGCAGGGAGTGCTTCTCCAGCTGCAGGGAGTGCTTCTCCAGCTGCAGGGAAGGCTTCTCCAGCTGCAGGGAAGGCTTCTCCAGCTGCAGGGGGGGCTTCTCCAGCTGCAGGGAAGGCTTCTCCAGCTGCAGGGAATGCTTCTCCAGCTGCAGGGAATGCTTCTCCAGCTGCAGGGGGGGCTTCTCCAGCTGCAGGGAATGCTTCTCCAGCTGCAGGGAAGGCTTCTCCAGCTGCAGGGGGGGCTTCTCCAGCTGCAGGGGGGGCTTCTCCAGCTGCAGGGAAGGCTTCTCCAGCTGCAGGGAATGCTTCTCCAGCTGCAGGGAATGCTTCTCCAGCTGCAGGGGGGGCTTCTCCAGCTGCAGGGAAGGCTTCTCCAGCTGCAGGGAAGGCTTCTCCAGCTGCAGGGAAGGCTTCTCCAGCTGCAGGGAATGCTTCTCCAGCTGCAGGGGGGGCTTCTCCAGCTGCAGGGAAGGCTTCTCCAGCTGCAGGGAAGGCTTCTCCAGCTGCAGGGAATGCTTCTCCAGCTGCAGGGGGGGCTTCTCCAGCTGCAGGGCGGGCTTCTCCAGCTGCAGGGAAGGCTTCTCCAGCTGCAGGGAAGGCTTCTCCAGCTGCAGGGGGGGCTTCTCCAGCGGGCTGTCCCCTGGAACACACAGGGATTGTCAGGGATGGCGCCAGGACAAACTTCACCTCTCACTTCTGTGTCTACAGAACTCCTCCTGCCATGGAATGAGTGTTAAAAACACACTTGTGCAGGCTCAGGTATCAGTTTATTCCAATTTTAGTGTCTCCTTCCTTTAGGAAAATAGAAATGAGTGTTTAATGCATGTGCACACTAACATAGAATCAAAATATCCTCAGCTGGAAGGGACACACAAGGATCACCAAAGCCCATGCTCGTGCCCTCAGTCCCTTTAACATAATTCACATAGAAAAATCAGGCTATTAAGCAAGGCAATCATATATAAAACACAGCAGTGTTTCCCTTTAAAAAGTGATTAACTTTCTGCATTAAGAGAAAACCACTCATCCCCAAACTTCCATGTAACAACAAAAGGTTCTTTTTCCAAAGAACCAGAAAAAAAATCAAAATGCATATGGAAAACGGCATATGGCAAGTGAAAAAATGCATATGGTAAGTGATAAATACAATAACAAATAATAAATGCAATAATAAAGCAAGTGATAAATACATCTACAAGGAGTCCCATTCCAGGGGCAGGCAATTCCCAAAGCATTCATTTGGAAATTTTCTATATATGCACAAAAATATGGGTCTCAGTGAAGAAGAAATTTCAAACAGATTTCTTTAATCAGTGCAAAATTGTGTGGAAATTGTTACTTTGTTTCAGAAACCTCCTGAGTGATTAGGAAGCAGTTTAAGCTAAACAGAGAATAAAGGTGTTTTTACCCAGGGGGTTGGAACTGGATGAGTTTTAAGGTCTCTTCCAACCCAAACCATCCTGGGATTCCATGATTCAAATGAAGAGACAAAAAGGCAGAATGCACTGAGTAACCCTTTTCTTGCACATGGATTAATCAGGGTTTGAACAGTCCCAGGTATTTCTGTGCTGATTTTCCCTGAAGTGCTCCATTTTGGGTTTATTTGAGTTGGAAGACAGAGCCTGCCCTGAGACATTACAAAAAGCAGAGCTGGAGATATTTTACTTTATGACAAATCCAAAGGCTCCACTTTTGAAGAGAAGCCTGCAGGGATGTGAGCAGTGAAGCCATGAGTAAATAAATCAATAAATCCCTCCCATTCCCAACTGCACCTGAGCCACTGCCCAATTCCCTCTCACCTGCCACTGTGGAATTTCTGACCACTGAAAAATCCCTCAAAATACAACCCCCCAACCCCTTTTTATCACATTGAGACCATTCCCACCTGTGTTGTCTCCTGGCTTTTGGCTGAGCAGCTGCTTCTGGCAACCAGGCTTAGGCAGCCCCTGGAAGCTTTTGAGAGGCCAGGAGCTGGAGAGGCTCCTGGGATCCTCCTGGGACTTCCCTGCAAGGGCAGCAGGAGCAGAGAGGTGCTTGGGGCTGTTCCTGGGGGATGACAGGGGGAAGGAGGGCAGGATGAAGGTGCCCTGGCTGGCACTGGGACCTTGGAAGGACATGGTGGGCTCTGCCTGAGTGCAGAAACTTCTCTGGGTCTTGCTGGAAAAACTGAGGCTGGAACAAACTGAGCAAAGGAAAAGAGAACAGTGCTTGTGGTAACTGGGTCTTGTAATAAGAATTTATCATGAAATAATACACCATAAGAATGATTTCCAGAGAAATAATGCACCACAAAAATGATTTCCAATGAAATCATCTATCATAAGAATAATTTCCCATGAAATAATGCACCATTAGGCACTCAGAGCCTGAAGGTTTGGCCCAACAAGCAGACAAATCAACCAACTTCATTCTGCAAATGGTATTCCCCTCCAAATGTGAGTTTAAGACTTAAAATGATTTCTCAGGCATGTTTTGGAGAACTGTATTTAAAAAACAGAGTGATGCAAGCAGATCAAACACTGCTGTGATCCTCCCCCAGCAGCTCCTTTTCTCTAACACCCTGCCACAGTCAGAGATCAAAGGGGGGGCTGTGAATTAACAACCACTAATTAACTCACACGGGAAGGAGGAGCCATCTGGACAGGGCCTGAACAACCTCTCAGCAACAATTCCCATTTCTTGGGGAAGCAAAGGAACAAAGGGACAACTCCAAAGTGACAGGCCCTGCCTTAGGCCCTGGCAGAAGCCACCTACCTTTGTCCTGCTGGCAGTTATTCAGTCCCAAAAACTGCAAATCAGAGCCCACACTGCCACTCTTCCCACGTGAGTATCCAAGGGTCCCACACTTCCCTGAAATCTGGGGCTGATGAGAGCCCAGAGCACCTTCCAAAAGAGAACACAAAGAACCAAATCAATGCTCACACACGCTGTCCAACACAGAATATCCAATAATATTCCAAGAATATCCAATAATATTTCATGGGGAATGCAGACTCTGTGTAGCTCTGAGTGGGAAACTCACACTCCAAGTACTTCATTCCAGAGTCTCTAAGCAACCTCAGAAAGCAGCTCAGGGGGAAAAGGGAAAAGGACTGGCTGCTCTTCCAGGGCACTGCTCCAGCTGGGAGTGCAGGGGGGCAAAGGAACCCCCTGCAACAATCCCCTCTTTGAGTGTGTGACAATGAAGGCAGCAAACACCTCAAAACCCAACTTGGCAAGGGCAGGGCTCCCCAGAGGGGACAAGGACAGGGCCCAGGGCCATGGGGCCACAATCCCTCAGGTCTGGTCTTGCCCAGGCTTTCCAGATCCTTCTGGCTACTGAAATATGCAGGACAACAAGAGGCCAGGCTCTTGGAACTGCTCAGAGAGAAGCAAGCCCTGGTTGCAAATGCCCCATGTCCTCTATGATTTCAGTGATCTTCTCTAGGTCATGGGGTAATCTCTAGGAATCAGAAGTCTTCTTGTGAATGACAAAAGCTGGGGAATTCTATGGACTCTTTGTAGGTTTGATGTGGCCTTTTTGTAGTTGTTCACTTACTATTTTTTTGAGAGCATTAAAAAAAAAAATTAGTATTTTTTCTGCAGCATTTTTTCTGTTCAAGAAGCCATTGATCTATCTAAATGGGTTTTCTAGGATAACTTCAGAGTGGCAGGAGTTGTGGTTTCCACCAAAAACCCACTTCTGCCTTCGCTCCCCACTGGGACAACACATCTCTCCCCCATACTCTGGTGGGCTTCTTCTCTACAAATTCATTTCCCACACCAAAAATCTGCCCTGCCTTGGCAGCTGCAGCACATCCCTGTGTCCCCACTCACCAGCAGCAAGGGCAGGGTGCTCAGAGGTCAGTGAAGTCCTGGAAGTTCTGCTCCTGCTGAACAGCAGCTCAGCACTGCCTGGGATCCCCTGCGGGGGCCGGGGCTTCGGGGAGTGCAGGGAATCATTGGCTGCAGCCAACTGCAGGGAAAACAAAATCAGCTCTGTGGGAAATGGGAGCACAGCCCTGCTCTGGGCAAACAGCACAGCTACAAGCATTTCCACACAAGCTTTACTTTCCCACCTACCCAATACTCAAATAGTTTAAGCATTAGAAAGCATTTTAGCTGTTTTGCAGGTCTTACTAAAGTACAGGTTAAAGCTACTCACACTGGAAGGGGAATAAAAACCCAACAAAATAAACTGGTAAAGAACTGAACTATTTTTAAAATTAAATTTTAAAAATTAAACATCGACCTTTTGAATGATGTGCTTTAGATGGGGAAGTGTTCAAATAGACAAGAGAACCCCAAAATCCCAGAATGGAACAACCACACACTCCAGGTTCTTGCAAACCACACACTCCAGTCTAAAACTGTGCCTGGCAACACCAGCAGCTTTTACTGAGAATGGGCTACAGGTAAGGAGAAAATCTCAATAATACCAATATTTAACAAAGAAAAGGTCATGCATTAAGTCAATTTTTGATTTAATTAGTAAAATCAGTGATTTAGGTCATTCCCAGGCTGCTCTTCCTTCTGAGAGATACAGGAGGAAAAGAAGAGCAGGAAAATGGTGAGGTGGTTTATTCCAGCTTTATTCCAAGTTATTACAAGTTGGGATAAAAACTGTGAGACCTTGGCATTCCCACTCCTGCGATCACCAAACACCATTCCACCCACAGATCCTTCAGTCCATAATGAAATATTCCCTGTACAAACCACCACAGCCTGGTTTCAGCTGGGAGAGAGGGAATTTTCTGCTCAGGAGCTGGTACAGGATAAACTTCCCTCCCATTTTCCCATACAGATAAAGCAACATGTGCAGAAGGAGAAAATTCCAACGCTGCCATGACTGCACAGCTTTCCTCAGCTGTTCCCATCCCAGCTCCAGGAGTGAAAACTCTGCTTCCTTGTACCCAAATTATAATTGCAGCATTGCAAATTCACTAAACACAGCCTTGGAGGTGGGAAATACAGCAAACCCAACGCTGACAGATGTTTCCCTGGGATAACAGATCCTAGAAAAGGGATTCCTCAAAAGGGTTCAGATTCCTTTAAATTCCACAAATGCTGGAAAACACCTGAATCCATCCACCACAGGAATTGGTAACTTGGTTATCAAAGCACAGCCCTTGAGAGTGACCCATGAGGGAATCCTGGAATGGTTTGGGTGGAAAGGGACCTTAAATCCCATCCCATCCCATGGATCCCATCTCATCCCATGGATCCCATCCCATGGATCCCATCCCATTCAATCCCATGATCCCATCCCATCCCATGGATCCCATCCCATTCAATCCCATGGATCTCATCCCATCCTATCCCATGGATCCCATCCCATCCCATGGATCCCATCCCATCCCATCCCATGGATCCCATCCCATTCAATCCCATGGATCTCATCCCATTCAATCCCATGGATCCCATCCCATCCCATCCTATCCCATGGATCCCATCCCATCCCATGGATCCCATCCCATCCCATGGATCCCATCCCATCCCATCCCATGGATCCCATCCCATCCCATGGATCTCATCCCATCCCATCCCACGGATCCCATTCCATCCCATCCCACGGATCCTATTCCATCCCATGGATCCCATCCCATCTCAACCGATCCCACCCACTGCCCCAGGCTGCTCCAAGCCCCAGAGTCCAAGCTGGAATCACAGCAAACATTCCCTCCCTGCATCCCTTCCCTGTGGAGCTCGGCCACTGGGAGACACCAAAGGTGCCCCTGATCTATCACCAGCAGCATTGCAATGCTCTCCCAGAAAGAGACCAACAGCACACAAAGACAGAGCAACACTTCCCCAAAATCCTCTCCCAGCTCCAGCAACAGCAGGGCTCAGATCCCAGAGGGACACCCAAGGGAGGGACACCTTTATCCCACACACTGCTCACCCTCTGTGTCCCTCTGACCCTTGGAAAACAAAGAGGTTTTGTTCCATAAATGAGATTTCCCAGGTCATTTGAACTCTCCACAAAGCCCAGCCATCAATTTCTCCAGTTATCAGATCAATATGGAAATGAGAAAATTTCCACACAGAGTGAGGGGAGATCCCACAGTTCAAATGAACTTTGATAAAGGCCTTAAATGTCCAGTGAAATGTTCAATTGCTCTTGTTTCCCCAAAAAGGACCCTCTGGGCACTCAAAGGTACCTTCAGCAGCAGGGAAGGGCCTGCAGGGTCTGTGTGTGCCAGGGGAAATGTTCACCCTGCAATATTCCATATCCCAACCTGCCCTTGAACCCCTGAACCCCTCCAGGGATGGAGATCCCACAGCTCTGCAGAGAGGCTGCCAGGCAAACCCCTGAGTCCATGTGCCTTATCTACCTTTTATTTTTAGTACACATTAACTTACACATGTTTTACTCACACCTTATCTGATCAGGAAAGTCTAGACACAGCCTTGGACAACCACCCTGTAACATGACCCTAAAAACACTGGCAGGGAAACAGCTTTAAACATTAAACTACTTCCATGCATCCCTTCAGCTACAGAATGACTCCAAAAGTTAATTTTTAAGCAAATTCATTTCAAAGGAATGTCTGAATTAATAATTAATATTTGACATGTCCAGAAACCAGTCGGCTGCCTGAGATTTATGGATGATAAATGCATTTTCCTTACTGAGGGAGCTAAGGGCAGATGCAGGGCTAACTCCCCACACAGATGCAGATTCCTGGATGGCCCAGGGACAGGAGCTTGGCACACAGCTCCAGGAATGTCCTCAGCCCAGGGAACACCAGCCAGGTTCACATTCCCAGACTGAAAACGCAATTCACCTTCCTGCACCCAAGACAGATCCACGGGATGTCCCGAGCTGGAGAGACCCACAGGGATCATCCCAGCCCCATCCCTGCCCAGACCCCCAACAATCCCACCCTGGGCATCCCTGGCAGCGCTGCCCAAACCCCCCTGGAGCTCTGGCAGCCTCGGGGCCGTGCCCATTCCCTGGGCAGCCTGGGCAGTGCCAGCACCCTCTGGGGAAGAACCTTTCCCAAAATCCAACCTAAATCCCTCCTGGCCCAGCCCCAGCCATGCCCTTGGGTCAGCAGCATTGCTGGACAGTGTCCCTGCCCCAGAGAGCTTTGGACAGATGTGATGAGTTTAAGGATCAGGATGTGAAGAAGGAGCAGCAAAGGTGTCAACTACAGCAGTCAGGTAAATACTCCACTATTAAACCACCCCGGTGTTTTAAGTTTCCTTTACAGTAACTGGGGTCTGGCCAGCAGGACTCCAATTCATCCTGTGCCCAGTCAGGTTCCCAGAGGGCAGGGATGGATGGGAGATTGGGAATTGGGAATTCCTGGCTGGGCTGGAATTGCCAGAGCAGCTGTGGCTGCCCCTGGATCCCTGGCAGTGCCCAAGGCCAGGCTGGACACTGGGGCACCCTGGGACAGTGGGAGGTGTCCCTGCCATGGCAGGGGTGGCTCTGGATGAGATTTAAGGTCCCTTCCCACCCAAACCATTCCAGGAATTGATGATTTACCCCACCTCCAAATGCACTTTACACAGCAACCACACAGAGCCCATAAGCTCTTTGCTTTCTCTCCCTCTGCAGGGCTGAAAACTCCTCCCCCATGACAGAGATAAACACAACCACATGTACAAAGGGCTCATTCCTCTCAGGAAAGGACCATTCCCAGAGCCCCTCCCTGACTTCCTTGCACAGGGGCTGTCCCAGACAGGGAATGCTCCTCCTTTCCAGACCCCAGCCAGGTGTTGGTGCCTGTATTAACTTGCTTTTTTGTTCACAGCTGCAGAAAACCAGCAGGGCTTGGCCCAACCTCCCAGGAGAACACTGGCACTGTTTTTTTGTTGATGTTTTTACAAGCTGTATTAGTTAATACTGAAAAACTGTTCCAGAAATGAAACCCTTCTTGCTCCAGAGGTGTTTCCTACACATCTTGTTGTCCCAACCCTGTTTGCAGATATCCCAAGGGAACTGATTCAGCAGCTCAGGAAGGCACAGATGTCTTTAGGAGCCTCAGGAGAGGTAACACAGGCACCAAGGAAGGAGATGAGCATTCAAGTCTAGGCATGAACTTCAAGGTCTGACAGTACAGAAACATGACCTGAGTTTATTTGGTTAAGGGCCTGCCCCACAGCCAGGCTGCAGAGGAGCACTCACTGTCCATGACCTCATCATCCAGCCCAGCAACAAGTTACCAGGCAACTGAGAATGAAAATCTGAGTACGTAAATGTGGCACTGAGGAATCTGCTCTACACAGCCTCCCATTTCCTGAGGAGCTCTGTTTGCTTCAGCTCCCTCACAGGGCATCAAGTTCTGATCAATCAAATGTGTCCACTTTAAAATAAACCCTCAAAACATAACAGAAAAACCACCACACAGAGATACACCCCCCATGTGTGGGATCCAAAACACATCACAGAACCACCGGCAAAGGAAAAAGAACCTGGACAATTTTCCAGAGGTTCCTCCCCTTTCCAGCTGCTGACGTGGTCAGGAGGTGATTACAGCCAAACTCAGCCTGAACCTTTATTCCAGCCTGACCTACATTTTTCCTGCTTGGATCAGCCCAAGGAGCAAGAGCCACACAGGCACTTGGCAGCCACCAGGTTTATCCCAAAGAGCCCCATCCCACAGCTCTGCCTTCAGAGCCTGAGCTGAAGGAGTTGCTCTGTTTTCCCCCAAACAGGAAACTCTGCAGTCAGCCCCACGCCTTCAAACACTAACATACAAATAAAGGCTGTTTTCCACTTTTGTGCTCATTCCCAGCGGTTCACCTGTCATTGCTGACATGTCAGAGTCATGTCTAGTGACTGTCAGACCTAAGGAGTGTCTCAGGTCTCAAAATAAGATTCATCTATTTCTTTGTAAGTAGTCTGGTAAATTGCTTGGTTGAACCTGCCAAAGCAAATTCCCAAATTTACCTTCCCAGAGCTATCTGAATGCAGAGACCCATGAAACATGAAACAGCAGCCATACCTCCCAAACACCTCTCACCTAACAAACCCCTGACAACTCTTCATCCTCCCTTTGGAAACGCCTTAAGCATAAAGGCACCCGGGGAGCTCCATACCTGCTCCACGCCCTTCGCGACGGGCATCCTCACCCCCGAGCCACCTTCCCCGTCCGCAGCCGGCTCGTTCTCCCAGGGCAGCTTGTTTTTGCCTCTGCCGGCGCTCAGGACTCTCCTGGGGCTCAGTCCCCGCCGGGCACAGGCGGGGCCGTGCAGGGCATCGCGGCAGGCGGGGTGCCCGCAGTGCCCGTGCGCGCTCCGGCTCCTGCTGCCCATCAGCAGCCACTCGGTGTCGGCGCCGGGCGGCGGGCAGGGCCCGCGGCAGCGGCCGGAGCAGGGCAGGGGCACTCCGTACTCCACGAGTCCCTGCTGGCCCAGCCGGGGCAGCACGTTCCGGGCCAGCCGGGCCCGCACGGCGAGCGCCACCCCCGCGCCGCCGGCCCGCAGCTCCACCGCGTCCAGGGCGCGGAGCAGCGCGCCGGCGTTGCCGGGGCCCAGCGCCGAGGCCAGCGCGGCGATCGCCTCCATGGCAGCGTGCCGGACCCTGCGCTTGGCGTCCAGCAGCGCCGGCGCCAGCGCGGCCGCCAGCTGGGGCAGGTCCAGCTCGGCGGCGGGGAAGGCGAGCAGCGCGGCGATGCACGTGTGGAGCAGCTCCTCGCGGAGCCGGGCGCTGCGGTGCCGCAGCAGCCGCTCCTGCAGCAGCAGCCGCAGCACGGGCCGCGGCCCGGCCGCCGCCATCAGCCGCAGCAGCAGGCGGGCGCTGTCCCGCCGCATGGCCGGCTGCGCGTCCCCCAGCGCCCGGGCGGCCGCGCACACCAGCGGGGCCAGCACGGCGGGGACGCGGCGGCCGAGGCGCAGCGCCAGCAGCCGGGTCACCTCCAGCGCGCCCCGCGCCACCGCGAAGTTGGGGTCGTGCAGCAGCGCGTCCAGCAGCGCGATCAGCCCCAGCAGCGCGGCGGCGGGCGCGGCGCCCAGCGCGGCCGGGCTGCAGCCCTCCACCGCCCGCCGCAGCTGCTCCACGGCCTGGGCCCGGCCCCGGTAGTCCCGCCGGTCCAGCAGCCGCGCGCGGAGCTCCGGCGGCACCAGCGGCAGCTCCGGCCCCAGCAGGGCGGCCGCGTCCTCCTGCGGGCCGGGGGGCTCCGCGCCCGGCCCGTCCTCAGCGGGGCTGGGGGGCTCCGTGCCCGAACCGTTGTGAGCATGGCTGGGGGGCTCCGTGCCCGGCCCGTCCTCACCGGGACCGGGGGGCTCCGTGTCCGAACCGTCCTGAATGGGGCCGGGGGCATCCGTGCCCGGACCGTTCAAAGCGGGGCCAGGGGGATCCGTGTCCGAACCGTTGTGAGCGGGGCCGGAGGGCTCCGTGTCCGGACCGTTGTGAGCGGGGCCGGAGAGCTCCGTGCCGTCCTCACGGTGCTGCGCGGAGCCGCCGCGCTCCCAGGCCCGGCCGCGGCCCCGCGGAGCGGCGGCTCCGGGCGGCGGCTCCACCATGGCCCGAGGCCGCGGCCATGGGCGGCCCTCAGGCCCCGCCCAGCAACGCCGCCGTCGCCAGGGGGCGCCGCGTGCCGCGCCGGCGCGGGGCCCACCACTCCGCGGCGAGCGGGGGGGGACACGCGTACCTCTGCTACTTCTCCTCAGGCCGCTGTGGGCGGAACGGGGCGCGAGCGCGGTGGCGGAGAAGCGGAGAGCAGCGTCACTCGAGAGGCGGGGATGGAGTGAAGCAAAACCGGCCGAGAAGCGAAATCGCGGCGTGCCCCCCGCGCGGCGCGCGCTGTGGTAGCGCCCGGGGACAGGCGGGTGTGGGTGTGTGCGGCGGCGCGGCCGTTGATTGGCGGGGCGCGCGGGGCGGGGCGGCCGGAAGTGACGGAGCGGGCGGTGGCGGAGCGGCGGAACGAGGCTGCGGCGCGGCCGGGCCGGGCCTGGGGCACCCCGGCACAGGTGAGAGCGGGGACGGCGCCGCACGGCCGGGACCCGCCGTGATACAGCCGGGACACTGCCGCGGGGTGGCCGTGCGGGGGGCCACGCGTCCCCGGGCGGGGTGCGAGTGTGGCGGGAGCGGCTGCGCGGGGGGCCCGCCCGGCACGGGGAGAGTGGCGGAGCCGCGGGGACCGGGAGCGGTGTGGGCTGGGAGGGACCCTGGGCAGGGACACCGGGAGCCCAGCGCGCTCCGAGCCCCGGCCGAGAGCGGAGCCGGGGCACGGGGTGAGCACAGCCCCGGGCAGAGCAGCAGTTCCAGAAGCGGGGCAGCCTATGCTGTGTTTGCCTTTCTTTCCCCGGGTGTTGGAGCCGCGCTCGGCCCGCCTCGGGGCTGGGGCTCCCCGACAGTCGCAGATCCAGCCCGGCCCCGTCCCTGCCGGTCCCAAACCCGCGCTCGGGGCAGAGCAGAGCCCGCAGCTCCTGTGCTGCTCCCCAGCAGCCCACATCCCCAGGCTCAGGTGTTCCCTGGGTTAACCTCTTTGTTTCCAGTCCCTGTGCACGCCCACATCCCCAGCTCAGGTGTTCCCTAGGATAACCTCTTGTTTCCAGTCCCTGCTGCGGTTGGAGATAAGCTTTAGCCACAGGCTGGGAGGATCTGACAGCCCGGAGCCGTTTGGTGTCCTGAGCACGGATCGCTGGGCTGGGATGCAATTCCAGGGCTGCTTCATGTTCCAGCTGCTGACTTCTTGCTAAAAAGTAAAATAAATAACAGCAAATCCCTGGTATGGGTGAGCCTGGCCCTGCAGAGGGGGGAGAGGTTCTACCAGGGTGGTACACGAAGCTCTGTTGGTGCAGAATACCTTACACGTGGTTATTTATAGGTGTTTTGGCAGGTTTTGCAGCTGAACTGGGACCACTCCTTTTTCCATGTGGTGGTGCCTTGTGTTTCCTGATTTTTGTGTGTTTGTATGATCAAACCAGGAACTGAACACAAACACAAAAGGGGAACACATTGTTTTAGCTTCTGGGCAGCTTTTTTTTATTATTTTAAATTTTTCAATTCTTCCATAGATAATTTGTGCTGCAAAATTGTGACAAGGAAAAGATTGTCTCTGATCTTGCCTTTTGCAGATGCACTTAAATTAGTTTCTTTCAGTTATTTTTTTCCAGTGAAGAGTGATAATAGGAAAGCTTATTTATCTCTTCATGGGTAAGAGCTTTTTCAGCCCCTTCCCTTCCCTGTCACTGCTATTGTATTTTGCATTTAAACGTTGGCAACCCATTTGATTATTTCCAATGAAGCACTTTTAAGTGGGCTCACCTGCAAGTGAGGTGTCATTTAAGGAGCTGTGCAAATGATGCACTTATTATGAAGATAAAAGAAGCGAGATCTTGCAGAGATCATTTAGCAAATCAAAAGCTGCTCTGCTCAGGAGTGGGGGGGTTGTTCCCTGGAGAACAATGGGATTCTTTCCCCGTGGCCCAGGATCCTGACACATCCCTACCCTCCACCTCTCAGCAGTGCAGGGCTGGGGGCTGAACAAAGAGCTGCTGCACCCTGGTAGTGCTCAGGGAGCTGGAATTAGAGCAGGTGCCTCTAATTAGGGCAGGAACCCGGGGGCTCTGGTGTCACGATGTGCACGGGACGTGGGGGAGAGGAGCTGTGTGGGGGAGTGAGGATTCTGCTCTCCTGCAGCTCCTGGGGAGCGTGGGCAGCTGCCAGTGCTGGCAAGTGCTGAGAATTCCGGGTGCTCAGCCTGTCCCCTGCTCACCTGGGCAGCTCTGAGCTCTCCAGAGGCTGAGCCCGTCCCAGCAGGGATCTCCTGGCACAGTGGGAGCCACAGGGTGAGGTGAGGATCTCCCCTTTCTCCTGTGCTCTTCTGTGCATCCACAGCCCAGGATTCTGCTCCAGCCCCACTGGCTCTGTGGGGGTGGCTGGCAGAGGGAATGGGAATGGGAATGGGGAGCTGCTCCCTGCCAGAGACAGGCACAGCAGGACTGGGCTGCTCCCCAGGAGCACTAAGCAGGCAGGGAGCTGAACAAAAGGAGTTTAGTGCAGGAGCTGAACTGCACAAAAGGAGCTTAAGAACTTTTAAAACTTCATCTCAAATAAGCCAGTTGCATTCTTCAGTTATCTGTGTTTGTTTCTATTTCAGCCACTGTTCAGTTCTCTCAAACCCTTGATGTAGAGTCACAGAGTATCCTGAGTGGGAAGGGATCCACAGGGATCTTCAATCCAGCTCCTGGCCCTGCACAGGTACCCCAGCCATCAGATCTTATTTTACTGCAGAACAACAAAAAAGTGATGGTTGTGGTTTTTTTAATTCAGACTTGAATCTAGCACAGACTATTAATGAACATTTGAAGTCCTGGATTTAACTTGTACGAAAAAGCGCAGCAGGTAAGGATGGAAAAGGGAACTGGGGAGTAACGAACCTTATCAGACAGAAACCCACCTTTTAGCCGTTCTCTGTGCCAAACCGTGAGGTGACAGCTCTGAACTGTGTTTGTCCCAGATGGACGGGTCGTCCCCGCCGTTCCTGCTGGCCAAGCTGACCCCGCTGCACTCGGAGCAGCTGCTGCAGGGCCTGAACCTGCTGCGGCAGCACCAGGAGCTCTGTGACGTGGTGCTGCGCGCCGGCGAGGCCAAGATCCACGCGCACAAGGCCGTGCTGGCCAGCATCAGCCCCTACTTCAAGGCCATGTTCACCGGGAACCTGTCGGAGAAGGAGAACGCCGAGGTGGAGTTCCAGTGCGTGGACGAGGCGGCGCTGCAGGCCATCGTGGAGTACGCCTACACCGGCACCGTCTTCATCTCGCAGGACACCGTGGAGTCGCTGCTGCCCGCCGCCAACCTGCTGCAGGTCTGTGTGCTGCCATGGAATAGCCTGCTTCAGCTGTCCCACTTCCTTCCCCTCCCTTGCCCCCTTGCTGAGAGCTGTGCCGTCAATCTTGGCATTCCAGCAAGGGCATTGTGGAGTGATTGGCAGAGTTCAAAAGATGCCTTTCAACCCTGGGGACATTGGGCCATCCAGGTGTCATTTGTCCCCTGAGACTTCCTGTCCCTATAGGACACAACACAAGCTCACCACCGTTTTCAAGGTGAAGGAAAAAAGGCGAAGTTTATTTCCTGACTCTAACATTTATAGATTTCCAAAAGTGACAGTGGATTGGAGGATGACAGTGGCACCTCTCCAATGCCACTGGTCGAACTAACAGCCCATCAACTCTCTCTTCCTCCATAAGGGAATGCAAAACAATGAGTTATTTACAGAAAGTGCGTGAGAAAGTTCACTACAAGAATGTCAACATCAGAAGGCTTAGAAAATCTTAAAAAAACAGGGTAACAACTTCCCCCCCCCCCCTTAGCTGGTTGGTGGGATCCCTACCCCTTCCCTCCCCCTCTCCCTGGGGTTAAAAGACACTGCAACCACACAGTTTCGTTGTTCTGTTGGAGCTGTTGCTGGATTCCTGTGTGCCAGGATAAAGCTCTGGATCAAAACCCTCTAACAAAACCCAACTCCTTTTTCCTTCAGCTTGCCTTAAAGCTTCTCCACCAGGGGTAAACCTGAGCTCTTGCATGCCTGGACTTGTCCCAAGCGCCCAGCTGCAGCATCCAGCCAGCCAAAGGTGTCTCTGGGGTGAAACCACCACAGCTGCCGCCTTTGGTCCAGCTGCAAGGCCAGGCCAGGCACATTCCATCAGGCACTATTGGTATTTAATTCCAATACAGGTCAAGCTGGTGGTCAAGGAGTGCTGCGCCTTCCTGGAGAGCCAGCTGGACCCCGGCAACTGCATCGGCATCTCGCGCTTCGCCGAGACCTACGGCTGCCGCGAGCTCTACCTGGCCGCCAGCAAGTTCATCTGCCAGAACTTCGAGGACGTGTGCCAGACCGAGGAGTTCCTGGAGCTGACGCACTCGGAGCTGGACGAGATCGTGTCCAACGACTGCCTGAACGTGCTGACGGAGGAGACGGTGTTCTACGCCCTGGAGGCCTGGATCAAGTACGACGTGCAGGAGCGCCAGAAGTACCTGGCGCAGCTGCTGCACTGCGTGCGCCTGCCCCTGCTCAGCGTCAAGTTCCTCACGCGCCTCTACGAGGCCAACCACCTGATCCGGGACGACCACACCTGCAAGCACCTGCTCAACGAGGCCCTCAAGTACCACTTCATGCCCGAGCACAGACTGTCCCACCAGACCATGCTGCTGACGCGGCCCCGCTGCGCGCCCAAGGTGCTCTGTGCCGTGGGGGGCAAGGCCGGGCTCTTCGCCTGCCTGGAGAGGTGAGGAGCGGCCTGGGCACTGCCTGGCAGCCCTGGCAGGGCACACCGGGAGCTGGGATCCCCCTGGTCTCTGGGCTTGGACGAGATCTGGGAGTCCCACCAGGGTTTGCGGGGTGTGGTTGTTCTTTTCCTCCATGAAAACTCTTCAGCAGGTTTTCTTTAGCAGGGATGAGCCCCAGGTTCCTCCATAGAAACTCTCCAGCAGTGCTTTTTAACAAGGATGAGCCCTAAGTTTCTCCACAAAAACTCTTCAGCAGGTTTTCTTTAACAGGGATGAGCCCCAAGTTCCTCCATAGAAACTCTCCAGCAGTGCTTTTTAACAAGGATGAGCCCTAAGTTTCTCCACAAAAACTCTTCAGCAGGGTTTTTTTAACAAGGATGAACCCAAAATTTCTCCATAAAAACTGTTCAGCAGGTTTTTTTTTTTTAGCCAGGATGAGAGGATGAGCCCCAAGTTCTTCCATAAAAACTTTTCAGCAGGTTTTCTTTTTTTAATAAGGATAGGCCTCAAGTTCCTCCATAGAAACTCTCCAGCAGTTTTTTTTTAACAGGGATGAGCTCCAAGTTCTTCCATAAAAACTCTCTAGCAGTTTTTTTTTAATCAGCATGAGCCCCAGGTTTCTCCATAAAACTCTCCAGTGGGCCTTTTTAACGAGGATGAACCCAAAATTTCTCCATAAAAACTGTGCAGCAGGTTTTCTTTTTTTTTAAACCAGGATGAGCCCCAAGTTTCTCCATAAAAACTCCATCAGGATTTCTTTTTTTTTTTTTACCAGGATAAGCCCCAACTTCTTCCATAAAAACTCTCCAGCAGGTTTTCTTTTTTTTAACCAGGATGAACCCCAAGTTCAAAATCCTTTTTTATTTCATTAATAATTTGCAGTGTTAGGGGGTTTTGTTTGTGCCAGACATTTGTTTGTGCAAACAAAAAAGCTCTGGAATAATTTTCATTCTGTTGATTGAGTTAATAAGGTGGTTAATTAAGTCTGTACAGTTCTCGTTTTTCCTTCCAGGTATTTTCATTTTACTTAATTTTCCCCCTGATTTGTTATTATTACAAACAAATCGTAAAAATTAACTTGCTGTCTGACAAATGTGCTTCCTGATAATTCAAAATTCCTTGGAATTAAAATAGACTTAATCAGAGCAGAGTGAAGGAGAAGAAAGGAGGCTCAGGGGGGCTTTTCCCTACAGCTCCTGCCAGGAGGGCACAGCCAGGGGGGGTCAGGCTCTGCTCCAGGGAACAGGGACAGGAGCAGAGGGAACAGCCCCAGGGTGGGCACAGCAGGAATTTCCCCATGGAAAA